AAGCTCTGGCACAAGGTGGAGAATAGACAAAGAAACATACACATCAAGAACAAAAAACATCACTCAATCTCATATAACCCTTTCCACATATTTTGTCTGAGTTCATTATTTTTTTGACAGTGTGAAGTTAGATCACTATGCGTCCCTTGAAACGTGAAACTGATACAGAAAAAAAACTGAGAGTAAAGCAAACTTACAGAAATGTGAGCTACCCCCTCCTTTCCCTACTTCTTGGACTTGTGCTGGCTTGTAATTGTAACTGAGGAGTTTCTAAGAGGATGAGGATGCAACCTCTTGAATTATGCCATACCCATGCTGCCCCACTGCAGTGTAGTGGATTTATTGGGCTCAGAACCCAGCCATTGCACTCCATAATGTTGCAGGAAAAGGCCTCCCTTTATTCCTACCTTTCATCCTCCATTCAGCAGTCCACTTCCCTTGAGGGAGAGGAATATGACAGGAGTAAGGATCAGATGTGGTTACAATGCTCTGGTGACTTCGAAGAGAATAGAGAATGCCATCCCTAGTTTCCTCACGATGTGTTTCTTGGATGGTTTTATTGCCCATTACCCAAGTTATATTTGGTGCTGGATACGTAAGAAAGGCAGAGCATGTCAGCATCCTTTCTGTGTCTTTCTTTTGGTACTCCAGTGCATAATAAGAGGAAACTAGATTAAAACAAACAAACAAAAAAACACAGCAGTCCTATTATTTTCAAAATCCTTTCCAAGTTGAAGTGATTGGTCATTTGAAGTGACACTGGGGAGAATAAGCACAACAGAAAACAAAATTTAATGTGGCTTCAGGAGAAAGAATGGCATTACTTATTGTTAATGCTGTGGTCTATACTGTTCTAAAAAGCCGTATTATGTTTTATGACTCAGGTACACCAACTGCCCTTTGGAAGTCACTGTGCAGTAGGTTATCAGAAGCAATACTGCACTGTAATTTTTTAACTTGTTACATTTCTCCAGAGACAAAGAGAACACCAACAGGCCCAAGAAGTGCTCTGTTCCCCTGGAGGATTTCAATACTATGTCAGAAATCATGTCAGACAATCTGTGGGTGTTACCCGGTTTCTACTAGCATCATCCAAGCACTTTTGTTATCTTACTGACCTTGCACATGCAGCTCAACTTCCACTTCTGTTTTAGTTTGTTGTGTTCCCACATAGCAGAGGTAAAGGCCCTCATCAGTCAAGGTCAGGTTACTAAGTTTCAAGGAGGCATTTCCATGAGGAATTTGCTCATGAAAAAGGTGAGTTCTGTTTCTGTAATTTGAGTGTTGTCTTTCCAGATAATCCCTCCTGTAGTAGTAGCTATGTACATCATTTTCTTCTTTCTTCCAGTAAATTACTTCATCATCACCAGGTGGAAAAGGACAAGGAAGGATGACATCCTTTGCAAACAGCCCTGTTACTGTTTCCTTTTCTGTAGAAATGTGTAAGTACAAATGAGTGGATTACATTAAATCTAGCTTATAAGCATTTTTCTGCCCCTCCTTATCCCTGACCCAAAAAGTTCTTTGGCTCCAACAGGTAGAACACTCCCACCATGTGTTTCAACAGCACACTCTTTCCAAGATTTTCTGTAGCACAGATCCCTGGGACAGCAAGGGTGGCAGCTTTTCTCCGTTAAGTTTGATCAGTATCATAATGTAGGGCTCTGAGCTTTGAACTCAGGTTAAGTGGGCAACCTGACTAACCATCTGTACATTTACATCAGCATGCCTCTGCCTTAGCCACCTGAGTTTCCTGTGCTTTTCCAAAAGCACCACCTCCGATCCCAAATCCGGGTGAGAGAGTCCCCAGCCTCAAGCTGCAGCTTGTTCCTCACTCATATGTTCATAGAGCTGGCTGGCAATGATCTGGGTGATCAGTGACCCTTACGCAGTGCCAAGCAGTTGTACAGACAAAAGCACGCAATTGTGCGACTGACAGGAAGGACAGAGCTTCTCAGAATGGCCTCACCGCCGAGTTGATCCTTAACCATTAATAAATAATGTCAGAATTAATTCCCCCATCAAAAAAATAATAAGAGTTGTCACCTTTATCATTTTTTCATAAACAGAAGAATTAAATCCTACCCCAAGTTGTAGCACATATGGAAAGCAAACAGAGAAGAGATGGTATCTTCTGCCCCTTCATGTCTTTGTTGGTTTCTTCATCTCAAACTGACAACGAAAAAGGAGGGGAGACAGCCTTTTTAAACGCAGCTAAAAGATTTGCCCCTCACTTTGGGGTCCACGGCTGTCACCAAACCACATGCATAGTCTTGCACCACATATGAACTTTGCATTTTACCTGTGTGCTCATCAAGGCACATGGGATTAATTACCACTTAACAAGCTTGCCTCTTACTGCTTTGGGAGCAGCCATACAGATACTGTAATAGTCTCCTCGCCTTGTTAAATCAAAATTATTTATTTCTTACTAAGAGGATTGTAATTAATTCCTTTTCAAGGTAGCTTAATAACAGCACATTTCAAGAATGTATGCATTTAGGAGAACTGGAAATGCCTGAGCATGTCAAGTTTTGCCAGTGAGCAAACACGACAACTCCATGTGTAAAAATCTTAACTCTTCCACATATTGATAAAACTCCGTGCCAGCCATACTGATACTAACTTTCTGGAATTTTCCCTCTGAATCTTCAGGAGACATTTTCTGTAGTAGAAAGTAGTCGCAGTTCTCTGCAGTCCCCCAACGCACCCCCTACGCCTAGTGCCCTAACCCCATGCCTTGGTTGGCAAGAAGTACTCCTGAAGGCAGAAGGCTCCCGCACTACAACCATACAAAGTTTCCCTTAGGATGCAGACCTGACCCGCAAGTTTTACCTCTTGGATATAACCCGTGCCCCTTCCCCCCACCTCTGCGCATAACACTACGAGCGACAGAGAAGTATTATAAGAATTTATTTTTTGTTACCTCTTCTGAGTTCACGAGTACCCAACAACTTCAGCATCCAGCTAATTGTTCCAATAAAGGCTGGTGTTTCTTGGAGGCAGGGTTTTTACATATGTGTAAATAAAATGAATTATACAGTTCTCTTCTCTAAAACTGAAAATCTTTTCCCTGTTCCTTCCGTAGCCACACCTATACGCAGCCAACAGCTCAAGTAATCTGCGTTTTTTGCAACGCTGCTGCAGGTTGACTCTTGCTCCGCAAATGAAAGTACAAGAAGCTGTTCCCTCCTCCTGGCCTGCCCCCACTCATATTGCTCTCACGTAATCAGGTAAGCAGCGGGTAAATATTTGACCTGAGGGAATGAACAACCTTATGCAATTAAAAAACCTACAGCCCACTCAGGCAGTAGGCAGAAGAAAGCAGCCCTGCTTGCTGACAAGGGAGTGCAGCACTGGCCCTCCCCCTGCACTGCTGCCTAGCCAGGCCCAGCTCGGAAGGGTTTAGGAAGAGTTAAAGGGTTAATGTGCCACCATCATCATGAACGGAGACTGCCCCCTCCCCACCGCCAGCAGCGTGGTGAGTGGAGACCAAAGAATGATCTTGTTGAAGGAGAGGCCCGATGAGCTCGGTAGTTTCAAGCTGCTTTTAGCCAGCTGTCTGACCACCTGTGTATGTGGAGCAAGGAAAACAGACCTTGTCCACCTGAGCGAGTGCTGTGTCTGCAAAGGGGAGCACTTGGCTCTGAGTATCCCACGTACACACAATGTGTATTTTGAGGGACTAACTATGGTCCCCTTTTATGGGCTAAATGCTTCTCAGGGCTCATTATTAGGTATGCCAGCAGACCACATTTTTCCATTCAGTTTGATCCAAAACAGTTCCAGTTAGTCTACCTCGCTCCCTGAAGTGACCCAAAAGACAGTGGGTGAGGGTGTGTGGAAGAATCGCTTCAGAAGAATGCTCCTGATCTGAGCTGTACACCAGCCTCTTGCCCAGCCACTAGCTGAGGAAGGCAGATAGGGGAAGAGATGTGGGGAGTTAGGAAGCCAGAGGAGCTGGATGTATTGCTGTTACCAGGAAGAGTATTGGAGATGTTAAAGAAGGCCCAGGTGGCAGGGTTATTCTGGTACAATGGCGCAGATGAGGATAGCACGCAGACAGGGCACAACTCAACAGGACATCAAGCAATGACACCTCAGTAAAATTGTTTTCCCGTCCTCACAGAAGTGCCATTCAAGTTTTCATGTGGTCAGTTGGTGCAAAAAAAAATTATGTTATTTTTAACGAGGCATATTGAAGCTGGAATTGCCAAGCTTCTAGCTGTCCTACCAGTCAAAGGCTGCACCATTTTGTTCAGGACAGGAGAAATTAAATTTCATACAGTCAGTTTAGAAACTTTCACTATTATTAGCCAAAGGATTTTTGTTCTCCAGCTGCACAAGAGGCCTAAGAGATGCTGCAGAGGGACTTATCCCAGGCCTTTTGACAGATTTCTGACGGCATTGGTGTCCATCAGTGCTGGTCAATCTTTATGCATTGCCTCCTAGTAGCACAGGGAAGGCAATTGTAAAATATCGGAGGTCAAGCAGGTGGGGCAGGAGGCTGGCTTGGCTGATCAGGGATCTGTGTATTCAAGAATGAACCTAGGTACTTAAGACAGCACTTCAAGAGAGGTATAAAGAAAGGATCAAATGGTACTGAAAACTCTGGCAAAAGGTAGAGAAGAGGAAAAGAAACACACGCACCAAGAAAAAAAAGTATTCTTCTCCCTCATATAACCCCTGGGTTCACTAAGGTTTCCATTTATCTTGTCTGAGTTTGTTATTTTATTGACAGAGCGTGAAGTTTGATCATTATGCATCCCTTGAAATGTGAAACTGATACAGGAAAAATGTTGGGAGTAAAGCGAACTTACAGGAATGTGAGCTACCCCCTCCTGTTCCCACTTCTTTGACATGTGCTGGCTTCTAATTGTAACTGATGAGTTTCAAAGAGGATGATGATGCTACCTCTTGCCCTATCCCCTAGCCATCCTGCCCCGCTGCAGGTGTAGTGGGTTTAATTGGGCTCAGGACCCAGCTGTAGCACCCCCACAATGATGCAGGAAGAGGCCAAGCTGTTGTACAGACAAAAGTACACAACTGTGCGACCGAGAGGAAGGACAGAACTTCTCAAAATGGCCTCACCACCACTCATGGCATCCGGGAATGCTGTCCCAGCCCCAGTGCAAGTCAGTAATACACAAACAATATCCAATTGCTATTGCTGTTCAATTTCAGAATTTTAAGTGAATATTTTTCACAACCAATTGTATTCCCTTGGTGACGCTGCATGGACATTCTTGGTCAAGGTCACACAACCTTGTTGGGCTGGTGGCAAGTGCCTGGCTGTAGCTGTTTGCCACTGCCTTCTTGGAAAGCTCGATGCCCTCTCCAGCGCAGGGAGATCTGGCAACCCTGGCAGAGCAATCTGCGTGACTTTCCCTCAGCACAAGCCCACCCAATGTACTTCAAGCCACTTTCAGTGCTAACAACTACTGACCACTGAGTGGTATCACAACGTACTCCACCAGCTAAGCTGTGTGGCACAAACGTGGGCAGCTGAAGCACAGGTGCTTAACACACTCAGTGGCCATGGACATTTGTGACACAATCTTTGTCTTCTTTTGCTTCAGGAGTGTTTTATCCCAAATTGATTCTTAACTGTTAATAAATAATGTCAGAATTAATTCCCCTGTCAAAAAAAAAAAATAAAAAAGAATAAGAGTTGTCATCTTTATCATTATACATAAGCAAAAGAACTAAGCCCTACCCCAAATTGTAGCGCATATGTCTCTGTTTTGCTATCTCTTACATAGACAGACATAAATGGCCTTTCACATGGGGAGCAGCCTGTTAATTACAGTGGGCTCAATCTCTTCTAATTGTAGATGTCTGTAACGCAGATTTCTGTTCTTGAAATACTCCTGTCATAATTGAGCATAAGAAATGTACGTTTCAACATCTACTTCAAGATGTGATAAATTGGATCTTGCCAGTGTCATTTACTATATACAGGGTGCCTAGAATGATTGGCTTGAACATAGCTACCTACCATCAGTTTGATTAATTTAATTCCATAATGCCTTCATAAAGAGGCCGAGATGTAAAGCAACCAAGTAAATGATTTGGTAAATACCTTGGTATGTGACAGCTAAGCCTGAAATGCTTCTTGCTAGGTTCAAAGCTGTACTTGCTTGAGCTCATGAGAGATTTAAGGGAAATCCTTGCTGTAATATTGCCAAGGGAAATGAGGGAGATTAATACTATAGGTTATTGCAGATCAGGAGTTAGCTGAGGGTGTGAAACACAGCAGACAGGTAGATGGCAATGAGGCACTAGAAACCCATGCTATATATGTCATTTATAGGAGGGAGGCATTTCTTTGGAAAAGCAGCAGTGTCTGAACAAGATGCTGTTATTATTTAGCAAAGCAAACTTCAATGCCTCATGAGCACTAGGTGCATTGTGCACGGCAGCAAAGCATGCTCTGCCACATCAGGTCTTTGTTAAGAGAGCCCTTTGGACTTGGTCACAATGGGCACCACAGTTTTTACAGGGTTGTTGAGGCATATATCCTGAGTCACCAGCACTTTTGCTGCAAAACCCAATCTTCTCTTCACCAAACAACCAACATTCAGAAGGAGATGAAAATGAGCTGCAGGCTGGCAATATTTTGTAATATTCAGCACGTGTGATACTTCAACAGTCTGACGTGGGACTTTTGTTTTAATCACCTTATTGACTAACTGATAATGGATCATTACTTTTCCGAGATGAACTGCTTTATTCATTCTTCTGTTTCAGCCTCTTGCTTATTATTTTACCTGAACTGAAATCTGAATATTTACGTTATTGAAAGTATTTGTAATATTTCCTCAATCTGAAGCTAAGCTACATAGTCAAGGCCAACCCATACACCATTCGTGGACCTCCCTCCTTAATATTGCTCCGTGTAATCCAGGGGCTGCAAAAAACATTAAGCCTTCATGTGCTATGGTATTTAGAGAAGTTATGTCTCAATTAATCATTTTTCCTGCTTTTCCACTGTTTGTTTTCTGGAAAACATTATAAAGAACACCAGCCTAATCAATCAGAAGAAGAAGCTGGAAGGTGACATTTCCCAGATGCAGAATGAAGTGGAGGAATCAATCCAGGAGTGCCGAAATGCAGAGGAAAAAGCTAAGAAAGCAATCACAGATGTAAGTAGCCTCATTGCTTGCTCAGTTTGTTTCAGTACCACACTGTCTTAGGACAAGCCAGCATTTCCCAAGCACCTGTTACAAACCTGATATATCTGAAGTGCTCCACAGTTATCTGGATATCTGGAGGCAGCTGATGAAACTACAAAAGGAAACAGACTAGAGGTTAAGAGAAAGGAAATACTTCTGCTTGATCTTTTTTTATTCTTCCTTTCCCTGAGAATGCAGCTTCCACTGATCCCCAAAGTCTCAGGTCATGTCACCTTTGAATTGGGTGGATTAGATACCTGGATAGGCTAAACTACTTCAGACGGAACTAGCACTAACAGGTCGCCAGGTGTGCATAGAATCTGCTGTGAGGAGTACAATTCCCAAATCCAAAATGAGGCATCTGTTAGAAAAACGTGAGGATGAAGTTCCCAAGAAGAGACAGTGAGCGCATTCTTCCTGTCAGGAAGATGACATTTTGGACTAGTATAGTTTCTTTCCCCACAGACCTGGAGAAACATAGAGTTTGGCTGACATATCACATCATACCAGCAGGCAGAGTAAAATCTAGAACTGGATGTTTCTGTGAGTGTGTCTGGAGCGCCTGGATGAAGCTATTCTTGTACCGTGGTCTTCACTGCTTCTCAGCTGGCAGTTCTGTTACTGCCTGCCAGAGAGAAGACACCGACTGTCCTTGATTCAGCTCCAGCCTGGACTGCAGTGCTTGCTGTCTTCCGATGGATGTTCAGTGATGGATACAAGAATCTGCAAATGGCTCTAGGAGGCAGGGACACGTGTCAGATCAGACATGAGCTAATTGGCACCCTCGTTACCAGTCTTAGAGAACGGTCAGGGAATATGTAAGATGCTGAAGCTGAGCTTCCTATCACAGCTCAGACTGCAGAAATGCTGTGCTGTTACAGCTGCTCAGGCAGCTCTTGTCTATGGCTGTGCCAGGAAACTCGTCTGCCATTTTTTTAAAAATTCACTACCTTTCAAAGCAATATTCAAGATCAAATTCCAATATTAGACTTAAAATAAGTTCTGGGTGAAATGCCTGCAATGAGCGGCATAAGTTTACTTGTAGCTATTATAAATGAGGACATTGTGTAGCATGGATACGAAAACAAACAAGCAAAGACTTATAATGTTAGGAATATGGGGAGAAAAAAAAAAAAAATGCCTTGTCTCTGTCCAGGAGAGATAAACATACACAATCTATTCTTGGTAGCATTAGGTGTATAGCCAATGAGCCAAGTAGTGGATATTCAACATGGATTTCTATCATAAAGTTGGTTGTTTTTTCAGGCAGCAATGATGGCTGAGGAGCTTAAAAAAGAGCAAGATACTAGTGCTCACTTAGAGAGAATGAAGAAGAACATGGAACAAACCATTAAAGATCTCCAGAAACGATTGGATGAGGCAGAACAAATAGCCCTGAAAGGTGGCAAGAAACAGATCCAGAAACTGGAATCCAGGGTAAGTTTGTGATCAAATACAGACTTGGGAGTGGGTGGGTGCCCTTGGGGTGCCTGGTAAGTTCAAAGGATGCAGGTGAGGCAGCTCTTGGACACATCCTTCCCCTTCAAGATCCAGTTGTAGTGAGCTGTGAGCTGTTGTAGCACAGTAGGTGACTAAGCCCTTAATTTTAAAAAAATATAAATATCTACAACTAGGAAAAGCATCTGCTTGGCTCAGATAAACTTTTTTTGATCTTTGCACATGTATATAGAGCATCTAGTTCTGAGTGGGGCCTTTGGCTGCTGGCACAGCTTAAATACATTTATGAAAAAATAGAATGAAAAGGCTACATTTGGATCTGTTCCTCAAATTGAGCACTATTAAGATGCTGAGGAAAGTGAATATGTCTTGAACTGTGAACTAAGTTACCCACTGCTTTATATTTGTAGCATATGCAAGGTTTTTTCCTTTTTTGCAGGTTTCGTGAACTGGAGAATGAACTTGAGACTGAACTCCGTCGCAATTCAGATGCCCAAAAAAGGAGGCCCGCAAGTTTGAGAGGCGCATTAAAGAGCTGACTTATCAGGTACGCCGAGGACTGTAGGAACCCCTAGATCCTGGAAAGAAATGTTTTCTCCCTGTCCGGGACTGAATTTGTTTCAGTGTTTCAGTGAAGGATGAAGGAGGACATTACCCAGAGCTTTCTCATTGCAGGAACTTTAGGGATGGGAGGAACATCTTCCTAGTGCTACCATCATCTTGCCTGACGAATTGTAACCAGCGTTAGCTTACTATTGCTGGGATTTGGACAGTTTTCAGCACAGTACTAAATGGAGCAGGCTTATAGGACTATTCATACTGCAAGAGAAAAAAGAGCTCAGATGTCTCTCAGCTGTGCTGGTGTTGCTTAAAGGAGCCATAAGGAGTCAGTTAACTCTGGTGCATCACTCGGCATAGGGCTTGCCCAGTCCCAGGGCTCTGTCACCTACTGCTGGGTGTAGTACTACTACTGCTTGTAGTAGTCTCAGCCTCCTGCAGGCTTCCTAACAGCTGCTGTTGCTGCTTGCCTTTTGAAAAAGGTCTTCAGCGCAGAGCACTGTTTCCTTGCTTTCAACATGAATCCTGAGCAGATAATCCCAACCATCTGCTTTAGGATATTACTTAGCATCCCACATGTTGTCTTACTCTGACCTTGTGTCAGAGGTTGTTTTCTTAGAAGACAGTTGCTGCGGCACAGGCAGACAGAATTAGCAGGTCCTTCTGATTATGGACTGTGACAGCTTAAACCCGGATCATTTTGCCAGAAATGCCTGCCCCCAACACAAAATTTAAATATGCAATTACACGTATTTTAGGCCTGCCCACTGGTCTGTTTCACTCAGTAATGACACTCTCTATAATGACAAGAGAGGTCCTCACCTGCCAAGCAAGGAACTCTGGGTGTACATGTGTGTGTGCATACATGTGTGTAGATATATCAGATTTACATACATATAGATTGGGGAGGCTATTCTTAGTCCTCAGCAAGCAGGCCCTCACAAATCTTCAGCTTACATGATTTTTTTTTTTCTCATCTACACAGAGGTTGATCACAATATGGATTGTTTATATTTTAAACTACACATTTGTAAAATGACACATATGTCGCCCATAACTAGTGGACAGATGCTTTTGGGCTTTGTACACTATTAGCCTAACTGACTGTGGTTTTGGTACAGTCAGAAGAAGATAAGAAGAATCTGGCCCGGATGCAGGATCTGATTGATAAGCTACAACTAAAAGTGAAGAGCTACAAGCACCAAGCAGAGGAAGCTGTAAGTGACTATTTAGGCCTTTTTTTCTCTGAGAAATTTGTTACCCTACAGCCACAATCTTTAATTGGCAAATGTTTTTAGTACAAGTAACGAATTTGTGTGTATTACTATTTGATTTATACAAACTCTATTATTTTATAATGTATTTATATACATAGTATATAGCATTTGTGTTGATTACATTACGATATTCCATTTTATCTTAAGATTGGAGTGTAATTTGCAGGCGGTGGGTGGAGGGAAGGGGGAGGAACAGGAAAGAGCTTTTCTTCTGGCTAGTCCCTCAGGAGACACGTTTGAAATCCTCCCCTGTTCACTTGAAATGAAGAGTTGCCACTGCAAACAACAAACCCTTCAACAAACAAAAACCCTCATCCCTCCAGGAGTCTGTGGTTCCCATAGAAGTGTTGGTTATTCATGTTGAGCACTTCTGTCCCTGCTTTGCTTCACGTGGACTGGAGGAAATCGGCTGTACTATTTCTCTCACCAGGAAGCACAAGCCAATCTGTCACCTTTCCAAGTACAGAAAACAGCAACATGATCTGGATGATGCTGAAGAAAAGTGCCTGAAATAGCTGAATCTCAAGTTAATAAGCTGGGAGCAAGTCGAGAGATATTGGCATGAAAAAGGTACGGTTCTACCCTATGAGAGCAAATGTGACAGGTTAATCCACGGTGGCACATGCTGTGTAATACAGGAAGATCTGTTGCATCTCTCAAGTAATATGGACTAGAGTAATAGTGGTTTACTATTTTTTAGTTTCAGTCAACCCTTTGTTTAACGTTACAGTAAAGCTTTAGGACAGCAATGTGTTGCTTATACAAAATGAAATCTCTGTTCTCCTCACGGTGTCACTTAACCTCTCCGCTCAGCATCCAGAAGTTGCCAAACTGTCTTTTTACAAGGGATATTTAAAAGCTCCATCTCTCTCTCTCTGTCTCTGATGTAGATTTCTAACTATGTAATAAAGCCGGGGGATTACTGCACTAGCAGATTGCCAGATACTTTAGAGTGCTCTTTCAAAAATTGTATTGAAGAGCTTGATGAAAAATAGTAGTCATTAGTCACTTGGATGCTGGGAAGTAATTAGTAACTAGGAGTATATTTGTGGTGGTTTGCACTTGATCAGAATGGTAGTAGAGTAATACAGATGAAACTAAAAGGAGCCTAGGAACGTGGTCTGGAACTGAAAGCAAACCCTTGCTTGTCTATGCTTGCCTGATGGCACCCTCAAGGAAGAGGTAGACTGGTGTAGGAAGGACAGAAAGAGGAGCTGGGTCATTGCTTTATCTATTTCATTTACAAATGTAATGTAAACTCCCATTCTTAATATCAGGTAAGTTTAGTGGGGGTACAGCTCCAAAGTCAAGTAACATAACAGAAACCTTTCTGTAACCATTTAGCTATTTCCATACCACTCGATCCCTTCTCTCTACTTTATCCACAATTCTGTGGGAGGAGGAATTCTGCTTTATATAACTATAGACTAATAAAATCACCTCTAGTTGAAATAATTATTCCTGTAGCTCCACCATCTACATTAAAACTAGATGAACATCTGGACTCATGCATTTGTACGTGATGGAAGCAGTACTGCAACTGAAACTCGCATGAAGTTTTGTAGGCTTTAAGAGGAAAAATTTCCCAATTCCAATTAAGAAAAATTTCCAAATTCCAAAAGAGGAAAAATCATTTCATGAGAGTCATTTATTGTACTTTGTAGACTGTAGTTCATTCCCTGTATTTTCTTAGCACCTTCTTCTGCCTCATAACTGCAGAAGTCACAGAGAAGTGGGCACTTGTTCAGATAATGAATGCTGTCCCAAAAATCAGCGAACAACTCCTTTAGGAAGAGAAAGACATTGGAAAGACTTTTTTTTTTTTTTTTTTTTTCAATAGTGTAGCCCTAAAAATACCTTCTCTACTACGGCTTTTCATGTTCCTGGAAACTTTTGAAAGTATGTGTGATTCAGAGCAAACAACAACATGTATTGCAACAGGGCTCTATAGAAATCCTCTGCTGTCAAAGGGATGATACACATCTTAGCATAAGGACAAGAGGCCTGTCTTCTTAGCTCAAGTAAGACTCTAAGTGATGGCTAAATTCAATATGGTACATCCATTTAGTGTTAGTGTATTTCAGACACAAGCTGGCAATGCTAGGAAGCAGAAGCGTTAGTTAACAGAAACTTCTGTCATTTACATGTAAACTTGAACTCTAAACCCCCCTGTAACTTTTAAAAACTGTTCAAGTTTTATTTTAATTAACCTGTTAAAGAGTTCAAATTCAACAATTAATTTTAATTTCTAGCAGTTTAAATGTAACAGTTTAATTTTAACAGTTGTGTACTATCTCTCTCAATTGCATTTCAGGTTCATGAAGAGGAGTAAGTGCAGTCCAAGCTGACAAATATGAGAAGAGGCTTCATATAATCAGGCATAACCAAAAGCAGGTGTATGGGAAAAAAAAAAAAAAAAGCACTTACAGAAATAAATGTCATCTGAAAACCCAAAGAGACTCTGTAGTGGATTACATTCATTTCATGTATTTCTGTTTTGTCAAGCCCAGGGATCAATACAAGATTACACACTGCCAACAACCCACTTCATTATGTTGAACAAAACCTAATTGGCAGATCTCTGATGAAATCAAACCTAAGGGCAAATCCAGTCACGTTTCACAGTCCCACATCCTTCATGTGCAGATCGTTAAAGCACTCTGGTTTAAACCTGTGTAGGAGCAGCCCTAAAAGCTGGGATAGCCCAGCTTCTAGCTGTCCTGCCAGTCAAGCTACACCTTTTTTTTTTTTTTTTAGGACAGCAGAAACTAAATTTCATGCAAATGGTCAGTTTAGAAACTTCCACTAGTATCACTGAAAGCATTTTTGTTCTCCAGCTGCACAAGGGCCTAAAAGATGCTGCTGAGGGACTTATCCCATAAGGACTGCCCCTGGCTCATAAACAGCATTCTTTTAAGACATTTCAATGTCAAACTGAAAACAGGGAAGAGTTGTCATGGAACTGGAATTACAATACTCAACGAAGTACAAAACAGTAAGCCCTCTCTTCCCCTCATAGTCCAAAAACAAACCCAAAGTCCACCGACACTCAAAACTCAACCTTGTGTGACACTTTTTCATTGTCCTTTTAGTACACTCGCATTCCGGTTCTTCATGCAGACTCCTCACATACAAATGTCAATTGACTTGTATATGTTCTTTGTCACTTTACTTGTTTGTTACTGTTGTTCAGATGATTGCCTTTCCACTTGGTTCTCAGTGTAATTCAATTGGGAAGACGAAGGAACTCCTCTGCTCAAGCTTGTATTTCAGCAGTATTCTCAGTAGTGTCTGTGTTTGTGGAGACTTTTTTTTGGTATGTCAAAGTGCTTATAGCCTCCTGATCCCTTGCATCTTGTAGTGATCCCGATTTTCTATTTAAACAAAAACATCCATGAGAACTACTGATGCATAAAATTAACCCCCCAGTAGGAACAGAACAAGACATACTCATGTTAGAGGTAAGTCACTATCTTCTATTTTAATGTCAGCTGAATAAAATAAACATGTACATAAAAGGGCAGCAGCATTCCCGTTTCTTCCATTTAGTTCTCATCAATGTAAACAGAGCAGTGTTAACTTGTAAATTACTCTGCTTCCTCCAATTATATGTTAAAGGTTTCTACAGGTCCCAATATATATTCATCTTGCTTAAGTTCTTTAAATGAAACAGCTTCATCTCAAAGGTATTGGTTCTATTATTCTATCAGGGAGACAACCATATGTCCTTCTGACTTGGTAGCACTAGTAAATAGGACAGTTGTACAGAGAGATGAATTAGAGGCTATATGCTCACAGTCTCCCAAACAAAGCAATTTGCATGTCTTTACACAAACAAGCTGCGTTGAATTTTGAAGTTGGACAGAGCTGAAGTGATAATTTGGGCCCAAATGAATGCTAGTACAGCCCATAGTTTGGGGATCTTGCTGGTTTTTTTGTCTTAAATAAAAGTGAGAGAAAATTACAAAACTGATTATTTTCAAAGCAAGCTATCAGCAAGTATTTGTGACAGGTAATCAATTTTTTTCATCTTTCTATAGAGTGCAGGAGAGCAATCTGGTCAAGGAAAGGGCATGTTAGCATTGTTACAACTAAAATACTATTGCCTAGATGTGCTAAGGAGGGCTTTTGGACACAGAATATAGAAAAAATAGGGCAGTTTACTTAAGCTGAGATTCGTTATTCTAAGTTTTTCAGTGTTGTTTGCATCCTTTATCCCATGAAAATCAAATCTGTTTTGGTCAAACATTCAAGGTCTGAAATTCAGCTTAAGAGTATGCTCAAAAGTAAATACCATAATGTTTGTACGTACCTTACAGAGACAGACCCCTATCGCTGCCAGTCCTATCGCTGCCAGTACATCACCACCGTACAAGTAATGTCACAGTTTTCCAAGTGTTATCTGAATGTTCTATAGAAATACAAATTCCAAAATGTTACAGGAACTCAAAAACTTATTGAATAATAGTGAATATTAATCTGTGATATTTTATATTCAATTATTCGTTGTCATTCATTGTTATTGATACTTACATCAAAATTATGATTTTGCTCTTACTTATAATCTCATACCTATGATTAAGGCAGAACATTTCCATTTATTGTTAATGGTACTGATACAACGGTCAATTACATGACCCATCCTGTAAGTGAAGATTTCAAAAGGATACTTTAATGAATTAAGAGTGAATGGGTAAAAGCCAATTGCTTTACTTAACTGTGCTGATAGAAAATTGTGTTCTCAATAAATATGATTTGAGAACTTCTATACAAGTCCTGTTGATAAACAACTAAGTTCTCAGGTGGGTAAATGCTGCTTCCAGGTACAGTGCTTAATGCCATTAACGTACTCGATTGCAGAAGTGGGTGTACCACAGATTCCACAGGACACAAAAGCCCATCTAGCCGAGGTTGGCTCTGGTTCTAGGCAGCATTGTTTCAGCTCCTCTCATCAATATGAGAACACTCACATTTGAAGGACTCATTTGTTCATCTACAGTTCTTCTATTTCAGGTTTCCTTTCCACTGCCGCATCTTGTTCAAAAACATTTTTTTGGAAATTTCTACACTCCGCCGTAAACTTAGGTTTACAGGATAAGGACGATCATGCTGGAATGTGAGCTTCAAGGAGGTATGTTTGTCTGACTCAACAGTTTTCTTTACACTAACTCCCCTCCTTCACATATATACCATGTGTATAGTCGCTGCCATCTAGAACACCCTATAGTTTCAGACAGAAACCAAGCTGTGGTGGGAAGGAAGGGAAGACAAATATCCAGGTGTTATAACTTACTCTATTCCCATTTTTGCTATGTTGCCTCTGTGTTTCGCATTCTGCAGACTGTTCAAGTTTACTTCTTTTTTAAAAAATAATGGAGGTGCCATATATTAGTTCTCTGTCTTTGAGTTGATTGCATTTAATGGATGCCTACTTGCTACTGCTTGAATGTGGTTTTGTTTTTTTTCCATTCCCTTTGAACGGAGAGTTCAAGAGGCACCACCCAAACAGCACGCTGTTTTTGAAAACTCTGTAATTTTTACACTATGATTTTAAAACGCTGGAGTCAATTTTTAACCTCAAGTAAGAGTTTTCAATAGATAGAGAAGTTAATCCTAAGTCTGCTTGAAACCAGAGATAATGAAATAACTGTAACTAAGACTTCACAGCTGGATGTTTACTACAGTTCATAAAAAGGAAGGCATACATACAAACATACATATTTCCAAGTGTAAAAAAGGCCTGCTGTGTAGAATTAAAGCTTTGAAAATAACAACTACATGCTTTTCTCAACAAGGTTTCTTCCACAGAATAAAAATTGTACCACTTCTATGGGCATGCCTTCATCTCCCTTTAAAGAGAGTATTTGCTACCAACACAGCATTTAGGATATGAGTCCATAAGTTTCTTTGTGCTCTCAGCTGCACAGCCCTCTGTGCTTTGAAGAAAGAAAGAAGTCCTTAAATACATATGTCTTAATGTTTTTCAGTATTTCACAGATTTCTGGTTGACTCTGGCCCTGTATTCCCCTCATTTGTCCCCACCCTCTGATAGGGAAGGAGCAGCAACTTACCAACTTCCAAAGTTCTCACTGTGAGTTTTGTGTAGTGAGGTGTTGACATGTTACAGAGATATTCTCCACTGTCACTTGTGGTAAGATCACTCAATAGCAGTGAAAAGTCCCTTTGGTTAATCTGGACTCGAGGCTGGTAAGAGTGAGAGGTACCATTGAAGGTGGCCAGGACTGAGGTCTCTGAATTTCTGATTCGTTTCCAGACAACGCTGATGCCCTCTCTGTGTAAAGTGTCACTGCTGAATTCACAAGGAAAGGCAACTCTACTTCCTTTTGCTTTTGACAGTTGGTCTGAAACAGACAATTACAAAACACTCTGTAACTGTTTTAGAAAATATTATCAAGGATGGTTAGTTTTTTCACCAATTGGTACAACACAAACATTTCAAAACATACTCCATTGTTTTGATATCCTATTCAAACATCACAGTATTCTTCTAGAAGAATTTAAAGATTTTTAAATACAAACTGATCATATATACGTTTTAAAACAAATCTAATTTGTAACAACATATACTTGTTAAATTGAATTGTTTTCATTTTGCTATTTCTCACCTAAACTGGGGGACTATGAGGGACTGACTAACAGAACTGATTTGACCTCGTGATGGGCAGGTAAGTGGAACTAACAGTAATGATCCAATAAAATACTAGTATGGGACAAATTAACATCATAGCATGACTATCTATTTAACTGCAGAGATCTGCTACAAGCAAGGGAAAAAACAGGAGGCATGGTGGCTGGCAGTCTGCTAGAAAGGAAGTATAATACATTATTTTGACATAGTATAACCACACTTGGTTTCTGTGCATGGATCCAAATAAGCAGAGGTGTGGTGCTGAAAAATTAGGAAAGAAAGAAACGGTACCCAGTGCTGCTATTATATAAGGAACAGGAAAGCAATATATTCTCAAAAATGTTTCAGCGAGACAGCAGACAGATGCAGGGCAATTTAAACAACGCTGTAATGAAATGGACCTTTTCCACTTGTGACTTGGAAAGGCAGATGAACAAAACAGACGTTTCTGGTGCACTTGTTACCTGCTCTGATACCCTAGTTGAAGCCTTCCAGAGTCGGAAGGTACGTAAATTAAAAACACCACCCTTGTTCTGAAGCATATGCAGTGGGTTAGGAGCTGAGTGTGTACTGGGTACACTTCAGGGAGAAATCTGAGCAATGGAGGCAGCCGTGCATATCCAATAAGGGAACTGCTCTTGCATCCTCTTGATCCCAATTAAAAATACTTCCTAAGATACTTGAGAGGCTGAAAAGTACCAGTATTGAATATCCAGAGAATGCTGAGAATTGCTTGAGACAAATGGAGACTGTAATTTTCATATCTCTGTTTTCCATTAAATATACAAGATCAGCTGCAGTTTGCCCAAAAATAAGCCAGTGCTGCTGATTCTTCACTGCTATGCACCCCACATGCTGCCACCTGGGTACTTAAGACTGCCGACTTCAGGAGAAGTGAGAATAAGGATTGAATGTACTGAAAAAAGCTCTTGGCACAAGGTGGAGATGGAGAATAGACAAAGAAACATACACATCAAGAACCCCCCCAAAAAACATCACTCAATCTCATATAACCACTTTCCACATACTTTTGTCTGAGTTCATTATTTTTTTGACCCAGTGTGAAAGTTAGATCACTATGCCGTCCCTTGAAACGGAAACTGATACAGAAAGAAAAAACTGAGAGTAAAGCAAACTTACAGAAATGTGAGCTACCCCCTCCTTTCCCTACTTCTTGGACTTGTGCTGGCTGTAATTGTAACTGAGGAGTTTCTAAGAGGATGAGGATGCAACCCTCTTGAATTATGCCATACCCATGCTGCCCCCACTGCAGTGTAGTGGATTTATTGGGCCTCAGAACCCAGCCATTGCACTCCATAATGTTGCAGGAAAAGGCTCCCTCCCTTTATTCCTACCTTCATCCTCCATTCAGCAGTCCACTTCCCTTGAGGGAGAGGAATATGACAGGAGTAAGGATCAGATGTGGTTACAATGCTCTGGTGACTTCGAAGAGAATAGAGAATGCCATCCCTAGTTTCCTCACGATGTGTTTCTTGGATGGTTTTTATTGCCCATTACCCAAGTTATATTTGGTGCTGGATACGTAAGAAAGGCAGAGCATGTCAGCATCCTTTCTGTGTCTCTTTCTTTTGGTACTCCAGTGCATAATAAGAGGAAACTAGATTAAAACAAACAAACAAAAAAACACAGCAGTCCTATTATTTTCAAAATCCTTTCCAAGTTGAAGTGATTGGTCATTTGAAGTGACACTGGGGAGAATAAGCACAACAGAAAACAAAATTTAATGTGGCTTCAGGAGAAAGAATGGCATTACTTATTGTTAATGCTGTGGTCTATACTGTTCTAAAAGCCGTATTATGTTTTATGACTCAGGTACACCAACTGCCCTTTGGAAGTCACTGTGCAGTAGGTTATCAGAAGCAATACTGCACTGTAATTTTTTAACTTGTTACATTTCTCCAGAGACAAAGAGAACACCAACAGGCCCAAGAAGTGCTCTGTTCCCCTGGAGGATTTCAATACTATGTCAGAAATCATGTCAGACAATCTGTGGGTGTTACCCGGTTTCTACTAGCATCATCCAAGCACTTTTGTTATCTTACTGACCTTGCACATGCAGCTCACTTCCACTTCTGTTTTAGTTTGTTGTGTTCCCACATAGCAGAGGTAAAGGCCCTCATCAGTCAAGGTCAGGTTACTAAGTTTCAAGGAGGCATTTCCATGAGGAATTTGCTCATGGAAAAGGTGAGTTCTGTTTCTGTAATTTGAGTGTTGTCTTTCCAGATAATCCCTCCTGTAGTAGTAGCTATGTACATCATTTTCTTCTTTCTTCCAGTAAATTACTTCATCATCACCAGGTGGAAAGGACAAGGAAGGATGACATCCTTTTGCAAACAGCCCTGTTACTGTTTCCTTTTCTGTAGAAATGTGTAAGTACAAATGAGTGGATTACATTAAATCTAGCTTATAAGCATTTTTCTGCCCCTCCTTATCCCTGACCCAAAAGTTCTTGGCTCCAACAGGTAGAACACTCCCACCATGTGTTTCAACAGCACACTCTTTCCAAGATTTTCTGTAGCACAGATCCCTGGGACAGCAAGGGTGGCAGCTTTTCTCCGTTAAGTTTGATCAGTATCATAATGTAGGGCTCTGAGCTTTGAACTCAGGTTAAGTGGGCAACCTGACTAACCATCTGTACATTTACATCAGCATGCCTCTGCCTTAGCCACCTGAGTTTCCTGTGCTTTTCCAAAAGCACCACCTCCGATCCCAAATCCGGGTGAGAGAGTCCCCAGCCTCAAGCTGCAGCTTGTTCCTCACTCATATGTTTCATAGAGCTGGCTGGCAATGATCTGGGTGATCAGTGACCCTTACGCAGTGCCAAGCAGTTGTACAGACAAAAGCACGCAATTGTGCGACTGACAGGAAGGACAGAGCTTCTCAGAATGGCCTCACCGCCGAGTTGATCCTTAACCATTAATAAATAATGTCAGAATTAATTCCCCCATCAAAAAAATAATAAGAGTTGTCACCTTTATCATTTTTTCATAAACAGAAGAATTAAATCCTACCCCAAGTTGTAGCACATATGGAAAGCAAACAGAGAAGAGATGGTATCTTCTGCCCCTTCATGTCTTTGTTGGTTTCTTCATCTCAAACTGACAACGAAAAAGGAGGGGAGACAGCCTTTTTAAACGCAGCTAAAAGATTTGCCCCTCACTTTGGGGTCCACGGCTGTCACCAAACCACATGCATAGTCTTGCACCACATATGAACTTTGCATTTTACCTGTGTGCTCATCAAGGCACATGGGATTAATTACCACTTAACAAGCTTGCCTCTTACTGCTTTGGGAGCAGCCATACAGATACTGTAATAGTCTCCTCGCCTTGTTAAATCAAAATTATTTATTTCTTACTAAGAGGATTGTAATTAATTCCTTTTCAAGGTAGCTTAATAACAGCACATTTCAAGAATGTATGCATTTAGGAGAACTGGAAATGCCTGAGCATGTCAAGTTTTGCCAGTGAGCAAACACGACAACTCCATGTGTAAAAATCTTAACTCTTCCACATATTGATAAAACTCCGTGCCAGCCATACTGATACTAACTTTCTGGAATTTTCCCTCTGAATCTTCAGGAGACATTTTCTGTAGTAGAAAGTAGTCGCAGTTCTCTGCAGTCCCCCAACGCACCCCCTACGCCTAGTGCCCTAACCCCATGCCTTGGTTGGCAAGAAGTACTCCTGAAGGCAGAAGGCTCCCGCACTACAACCATACAAAGTTTCCCTTAGGATGCAGACCTGACCCGCAAGTTTTACCTCTTGGATATAACCCGTGCCCCTTCCCCCCACCTCTGCGCATAACACTACGAGCGACAGAGAAGTATTATAAGAATTTATTTTTTGTTACCTCTTCTGAGTTCACGAGTACCCAACAACTTCAGCATCCAGCTAATTGTTCCAATAAAGGCTGGTGTTTCTTGGAGGCAGGGTTTTTACATATGTGTAAATAAAATGAATTATACAGTTCTCTTCTCTAAAACTGAAAATCTTTTCCCTGTTCCTTCCGTAGCCACACCTATACGCAGCCAACAGCTCAAGTAATCTGCGTTTTTTGCAACGCTGCTGCAGGTTGACTCTTGCTCCGCAAATGAAAGTACAAGAAGCTGTTCCCTCCTCCTGGCCTGCCCCCACTCATATTGCTCTCACGTAATCAGGTAAGCAGCGGGTAAATATTTGACCTGAGGGAATGAACAACCTTATGCAATTAAAAACCTACAGCCCACTCAGGCAGTAGGCAGAAGAAAGCAGCCCTGCTTGCTGACAAGGGAGTGCAGCACTGGCCCTCCCCCTGCACTGCTGCCTAGCCAGGCCCAGCTCGGAAGGGTTTAGGAAGAGTTAAAGGGTTAATGTGCCACCATCATCATGAACGGAGACTGCCCCCTCCCCACCGCCAGCAGCGTGGTGAGTGGAGACCAAAGAATGATCTTGTTGAAGGAGAGGCCCGATGAGCTCGGTAGTTTCAAGCTGCTTTTAGCCAGCTGTCTGACCACCTGTGTATGTGGAGCAAGGAAAACAGACCTTGTCCACCTGAGCGAGTGCTGTGTCTGCAAAGGGGAGCACTTGGCTCTGAGTATCCCACGTACACACAATGTGTATTTTGAGGGACTAACTATGGTCCCCTTTTATGGGCTAAATGCTTCTCAGGGCTCATTATTAGGTATGCCAGCAGACCACATTTTTCCATTCAGTTTGATCCAAAACAGTTCCAGTTAGTCTACCTCGCTCCCTGAAGTGACCCAAAAGACAGTGGGTGAGGGTGTGTGGAAGAATCGCTTCAGAAGAATGCTCCTGATCTGAGCTGTACACCAGCCTCTTGCCCAGCCACTAGCTGAGGAAGGCAGATAGGGGAAGAGATGTGGGGAGTTAGGAAGCCAGAGGAGCTGGATGTATTGCTGTTACCAGGAAGAGTATTGGAGATGTTAAAGAAGGCCCAGGTGGCAGGGTTATTCTGGTACAATGGCGCAGATGAGGATAGCACGCAGACAGGGCACAACTCAACAGGACATCAAGCAATGACACCTCAGTAAAATTGTTTTCCCGTCCTCACAGAAGTGCCATTCAAGTTTTCATGTGGTCAGTTGGTGCAAAAAAAATTATGTTATTTTTAACGAGGCATATTGAAGCTGGAATTGCCAAGCTTCTAGCTGTCCTACCAGTCAAAGGCTGCACCATTTTGTTCAGGACAGGAGAAATTAAATTTCATACAGTCAGTTTAGAAACTTTCACTATTATTAGCCAAAGGATTTTTGTTCTCCAGCTGCACAAGAGGCCTAAGAGATGCTGCAGAGGGACTTATCCCAGGCCTTTGACAGATTTCTGACGGCATTGGTGTCCATCAGTGCTGGTCAATCTTTATGCATTGCCTCCTAGTAGCACAGGGAAGGCAATTGTAAAATATCGGAGGTCAAGCAGGTGGGGCAGGAGGCTGGCTTGGCTGATCAGGGATCTGTGTATTCAAGAATGAACCTAGGTACTTAAGACAGCACTTCAAGAGAGGTATAAAGAAAGGATCAAATGGTACTGAAAACTCTGGCAAAAGGTAGAGAAGAGGAAAAGAAACACACGCACCAAGAAAAAAAAGTATTCTTCTCCCTCATATAACCCCTGGGTTCACTAAGGTTTCCATTTATCTTGTCTGAGTTTGTTATTTTATTGACAGAGCGTGAAGTTTGATCATTATGCATCCCTTGAAATGTGAAACTGATACAGGAAAAATGTTGGGAGTAAAGCGAACTTACAGGAATGTGAGCTACCCCCTCCTGTTCCCACTTCTTTGACATGTGCTGGCTTCTAATTGTAACTGATGAGTTTCAAAGAGGATGATGATGCTACCTCTTGCCCTATCCCCTAGCCATCCTGCCCCGCTGCAGGTGTAGTGGGTTTAATTGGGCTCAGGACCCAGCTGTAGCACCCCCACAATGATGCAGGAAGAGGCCAAGCTGTTGTACAGACAAAAGTACACAACTGTGCGACCGAGAGGAAGGACAGAACTTCTCAAAATGGCCTCACCACCACTCATGGCATCCGGGAATGCTGTCCCAGCCCCAGTGCAAGTCAGTAATACACAAACAATATCCAATTGCTATTGCTGTTCAATTTCAGAATTTTAAGTGAATATTTTTCACAACCAATTGTATTCCCTTGGTGACGCTGCATGGACATTCTTGGTCAAGGTCACACAACCTTGTTGGGCTGGTGGCAAGTGCCTGGCTGTAGCTGTTTGCCACTGCCTTCTTGGAAAGCTCGATGCCCTCTCCAGCGCAGGGAGATCTGGCAACCCTGGCAGAGCAATCTGCGTGACTTTCCCTCAGCACAAGCCCACCCAATGTACTTCAAGCCACTTTCAGTGCTAACAACTACTGACCACTGAGTGGTATCACAACGTACTCCACCAGCTAAGCTGTGTGGCACAAACGTGGGCAGCTGAAGCACAGGTGCTTAACACACTCAGTGGCCATGGACATTTGTGACACAATCTTTGTCTTCTTTTGCTTCAGGAGTGTTTTATCCCAAATTGATTCTTAACTGTTAATAAATAATGTCAGAATTAATTCCCCTGTCAAAAAAAAAAAATAAAAAAGAATAAGAGTTGTCATCTTTATCATTATACATAAGCAAAAGAACTAAGCCCTACCCCAAATTGTAGCGCATATGTCTCTGTTTTGCTATCTCTTACATAGACAGACATAAATGGCCTTTCACATGGGGAGCAGCCTGTTAATTACAGTGGGCTCAATCTCTTCTAATTGTAGATGTCTGTAACGCAGATTTCTGTTCTTGAAATACTCCTGTCATAATTGAGCATAAGAAATGTACGTTTCAACATCTACTTCAAGATGTGATAAATTGGATCTTGCCAGTGTCATTTACTATATACAGGGTGCCTAGAATGATTGGCTTGAACATAGCTACCTACCATCAGTTTGATTAATTTAATTCCATAATGCCTTCATAAAGAGGCCGAGATGTAAAGCAACCAAGTAAATGATTTGGTAAATACCTTGGTATGTGACAGCTAAGCCTGAAATGCTTCTTGCTAGGTTCAAAGCTGTACTTGCTTGAGCTCATGAGAGATTTAAGGGAAATCCTTGCTGTAATATTGCCAAGGGAAATGAGGGAGATTAATACTATAGGTTATTGCAGATCAGGAGTTAGCTGAGGGTGTGAAACACAGCAGACAGGTAGATGGCAATGAGGCACTAGAAACCCATGCTATATATGTCATTTATAGGAGGGAGGCATTTCTTTGGAAAAGCAGCAGTGTCTGAACAAGATGCTGTTATTATTTAGCAAAGCAAACTTCAATGCCTCATGAGCACTAGGTGCATTGTGCACGGCAGCAAAGCATGCTCTGCCACATCAGGTCTTTGTTAAGAGAGCCCTTTGGACTTGGTCACAATGGGCACCACAGTTTTTACAGGGTTGTTGAGGCATATATCCTGAGTCACCAGCACTTTTGCTGCAAAACCCAATCTTCTCTTCACCAAACAACCAACATTCAGAAGGAGATGAAAATGAGCTGCAGGCTGGCAATATTTTGTAATATTCAGCACGTGTGATACTTCAACAGTCTGACGTGGGACTTTTGTTTTAATCACCTTATTGACTAACTGATAATGGATCATTACTTTTCCGAGATGAACTGCTTTATTCATTCTTCTGTTTCAGCCTCTTGCTTATTATTTTACCTGAACTGAAATCTGAATATTTACGTTATTGAAAGTATTTGTAATATTTCCTCAATCTGAAGCTAAGCTACATAGTCAAGGCCAACCCATACACCATTCGTGGACCTCCCTCCTTAATATTGCTCCGTGTAATCCAGGGGCTGCAAAAAACATTAAGCCTTCATGTGCTATGGTATTTAGAGAAGTTATGTCTCAATTAATCATTTTTCCTGCTTTTCCACTGTTTGTTTTCTGGAAAACATTATAAAGAACACCAGCCTAATCAATCAGAAGAAGAAGCTGGAAGGTGACATTTCCCAGATGCAGAATGAAGTGGAGGAATCAATCCAGGAGTGCCGAAATGCAGAGGAAAAAGCTAAGAAAGCAATCACAGATGTAAGTAGCCTCATTGCTTGCTCAGTTTGTTTCAGTACCACACTGTCTTAGGACAAGCCAGCATTTCCCAAGCACCTGTTACAAACCTGATATATCTGAAGTGCTCCACAGTTATCTGGATATCTGGAGGCAGCTGATGAAACTACAAAAGGAAACAGACTAGAGGTTAAGAGAAAGGAAATACTTCTGCTTGATCTTTTTTTATTCTTCCTTTCCCTGAGAATGCAGCTTCCACTGATCCCCAAAGTCTCAGGTCATGTCACCTTTGAATTGGGTGGATTAGATACCTGGATAGGCTAAACTACTTCAGACGGAACTAGCACTAACAGGTCGCCAGGTGTGCATAGAATCTGCTGTGAGGAGTACAATTCCCAAATCCAAAATGAGGCATCTGTTAGAAAAACGTGAGGATGAAGTTCCCAAGAAGAGACAGTGAGCGCATTCTTCCTGTCAGGAAGATGACATTTTGGACTAGTATAGTTTCTTTCCCCACAGACCTGGAGAAACATAGAGTTTGGCTGACATATCACATCATACCAGCAGGCAGAGTAAAATCTAGAACTGGATGTTTCTGTGAGTTGTGTCTGGAGCGCCTGGATGAAGCTATTCTTGTACCGTGGTCTTCACTGCTTCTCAGCTGGCAGTTCTGTTACTGCCTGCCAGAGAGAAGACACCGACTGTCCTTGATTCAGCTCCAGCCTGGACTGCAGTGCTTGCTGTCTTCCGATGGATGTTCAGTGATGGATACAAGAATCTGCAAATGGCTCTAGGAGGCAGGGACACGTGTCAGATCAGACATGAGCTAATTGGCACCCTCGTTACCAGTCTTAGAGAACGGTCAGGGAATATGTAAGATGCTGAAGCTGAGCTTCCTATCACAGCTCAGACTGCAGAAATTGCTGTGCTGTTACAGCTGCTCAGGCAGCTCTTGTCTATGGCTGTGCCAGGAAACTCGTCTGCCATTTTTTTAAAAATTCACTACCTTTCAAAGCAATATTCAAGATCAAATTCCAATATTAGACTTAAAATAAGTTCTGGGTGAAATGCCTGCAATGAGCGGCATAAGTTTACTTGTAGCTATTATAAATGAGGACATTGTGTAGCATGGATACGAAAACAAACAAGCAAAGACTTATAATGTTAGAATATGGGGAGAAAAAAAAAAAAATGCCTTGTCTCTGTCCAGGAGAGATAAACATACACAATCTATTCTTGGTAGCATTAGGTGTATAGCCAATGAGCCAAGTAGTGGATTATTCAACATGGATTTCTATCATAAAGTTGGTTGTTTTTTCAGGCAGCAATGATGGCTGAGGAGCTTAAAAAAGAGCAAGATACTAGTGCTCACTTAGAGAGAATGAAGAAGAACATGGAACAAACCATTAAAGATCTCCAGAAACGATTGGATGAGGCAGAACAAATAGCCCTGAAAGGTGGCAAGAAACAGATCCAGAAACTGGAATCCAGGGTAAGTTTGTGATCAAATACAGACTTGGGAGTGGGTGGGTGCCCTTGGGGTGCCTGGTAAGTTCAAAGGATGCAGGTGAGCAGCTCTTGGACACATCCTTCCCCTTCAAGATCCAGTTGTAGTGAGCTGTGAGCTGTTGTAGCACAGTAGGTGACTAAGCCCTTAATTTTAAAAAAATATAAATATCTACAACTAGGAAAAGCATCTGCTTGGCTCAGATAAACTTTTTTTGATCTTTGCACATGTATATAGAGCATCTAGTTCTGAGTGGGGCCTTTGGCTGCTGGCACAGCTTAAATACATTTATGAAAAAATAGAATGAAAAGGCTACATTTGGATCTGTTCCTCAAATTGAGCACTATTAAGATGCTGAGGAAAGTGAATATGTCTTGAACTGTGAACTAAGTTACCCACTGCTTTATATTTGTAGCATAATTGCAAGGTTTTTTCCTTTTTTGCAGGTTCGTGAACTGGAGAATGAACTTGAGACTGAACTCCGTCGCAATTCAGATGCCCAAAAAGGAGCCCGCAAGTTTGAGAGGCGCATTAAAGAGCTGACTTATCAGGTACGCCGAGGACTGTAGGAACCCCTAGATCCCTGGAAAGAAATGTTTTCTCCCTGTCCGGGACTGAATTTGTTTCAGTGTTTCAGTGAAGGATGAAGGAGGACATTACCCAGAGCTTTCTCATTGCAGGAAGCTTTAGGGATGGGAGGAACATCTTCCTAGTGCTACCATCATCTTGCCTGACGAATTGTAACCAGCGTTAGCTTACTATTGCTGGGATTTGGACAGTTTCAGCACAGTACTAAATGGAGCAGGCTTATAGGACTATTCATACTGCAAGAGAAAAAAGAGCTCAGATGTCTCTCAGCTGTGCTGGTGTTGCTTAAAGGAGCCATAAGGAGTCAGTTAACTCTGGTGCATCACTCGGCATAGGGCTGCCCAGTCCCAGGGCTCTGTCACCTACTGCTGGGTGTAGTACTACTACTGCTGTAGTAGTCTCAGCCTCCTGCAGGCTTCCTAACAGCTGCTGTTGCTGCTTGCCTTTTGAAAAGGTCTTCAGCGCAGAGCACTGTTTCCCTTGCTTTCAACATGAATCCTGAGCAGATAATCCCAACCATCTGCTTTAGGATATTACTTAGCATCCCACATGTTGTCTTACTCTGACTTGTGTCAGAGGTTGTTTTCTTAGAAGACAGTGCTGCGGCACAGGCAGACAGAATTAGCAGGTCCTTCTGATTATGGACTGTGACAGCTTAAACCCGGATCATTTTGCCAGAAATGCCTGCCCCCAACACAAAATTTAAAATATGCAAATTACACGTATTTTAGGCCTGCCCACTGGTCTGTTTCACTCAGTAATGACACTCTCTATAATGACAAGAGAGGTCCTCACCTGCCAAGCAAGGAACTCTGGGTGTACATGTGTGTGTGCATACATGTGTGTAGATATATCAGTATTTACATACATATAGATTGGGAGGCTATTCTTAGTCCTCAGCAAGCAGGCCCTCACAAATCTTCAGCTTACAGATTTTTTTTTTCTCATCTACACAGAGGTTGATCACAATATGGATTGTTTATATTTTAAACTACACATTTGTAAAATGACACATATGTCGCCCATAACTAGTGGACAGATGCTTTTGGGCTTTGTACACTATTAGCCTAACTGACTGTGTTTTGGTACAGTCAGAAGAAGATAAGAAGAATCTGGCCCGGATGCAGGATCTGATTGATAAGCTACAACTAAAAGTGAAGAGCTACAAGCACCAAGCAGAGGAAGCTGTAAGTGACTATTTAGGCCTTTTTTTCTCTGAGAAATTTGTTACCCTACAGCCACAATCTTTAATTGGCAAATGTTTTTAGTACAAGTACCGAATTTGTGTGTATTACTATTTGTATTTATACAAACTCTATGTTTATAAATGTATTTATATACATAGTATATAGCATTTGTGTTGATTACATTACGATATTCCATTTTATCTTAAGATTGGAGTGTAATTTGCAGGCGGTGGAGGGAAGGGGAGGAACAGGAAAGAGCTTTTCTTCTGGCTAGTCCCTCAGGAGACACGTTGAAATCCTCCCTGTTCACTTGAAATGAAGAGTGCCACTGCAAACAACAAACCCTTCAACAAACAAAAACCCTCATCCCTCCAGGAGTCTGGTGGTTCCCATAGAAGTGTTGGTTATTCATGTTGAGCACTTCTGTCCTGCTTTGCTTCACGTGGACTGGAGGAAATCGGCTGTACTATTTTCTCTCACCAGGAAGCACAAGCCAATCTGTACCTTTCCAAGTACAGAAAACAGCAACATGATCTGGATGATGCTGAAGAAAGGGCTGAAATAGCTGAATCTCAAGTTAATAAGCTGAGGAGCAAGTCGAGAGATATTGGCATGAAAAAGGTACGGTTCTACCCTATGGAGCAAATGTGACAGGTTAATCCACGGTGGCACATGCTGTGTATACAGGAAGATCTGTTGCATCTCCTCAAGTAATATGGACTAGAGTAAATAGTGGTTTACTAATTTTTTTAGTTTCAGTCAACCCTTTGTTTTAACGTTACAGTAAATCTTTAGGACAGCAATGTGTTGCTTATACAAAATGAAATCTCTGTTCTCTCAACGGTGTCACTTAACCTCTCCGCTCAGCATCCAGAAGTTGCCAAACTGTCTTTTTACAAGGGATATTTAAAAGCTCCATCTCTCTCTCTCTGTCTGATGTAGATTTCTACCTATGTAATAAAGCCGGGGGATTACTGCACTAGCAGATTGCCAGATACTTTAAGAGTGCTCTTTCAAAAATTGTATTGAAGAGCTTGATGAAAATAGTAGTCATTAGTCACTTGGATGCTGGGAAGTAATTAGTAACTAGGAGTATATTTGTGGTGGTTTGCACTTGATCAGAATGGTAGTAGAGTAATACAGATGAAACTAAAAGGAGCCTAGGAACGTGGTCTGGAACTGAAAGCAAACCCTTGCTTGTCTATGCTTGCCTGATGGCACCCTCAGCAAGGTAGACTGGTGTAGGAAGGACAGAAAGAGGAGCTGGGTCATTGCTTTATCTATTTCATTTACAAATGTAATGTAAACTCCCATTCTTAATATCAGGTAAGTTTAGTGGGGGTACAGCTCCAAAGTCAAGTAACATAACAGAAACCTTTCTGTAACCATTTAGCTATTTCCATACCACTCGATCCCTTCTCTCTACTTTATCCACAATTCTGTGGGAGGAATTCTGCTTTTTATATTGGACAATTCTGCTTTTATATTGGACTAATAAAATCACCTCTAGTTGAAATTAATTCCTGTAGCTCCACCATCTACATTAAAACTAGATGAACATCTGGACTCATGCATTTGTACGTGATGGAAGCAGTACTGCAACTGAAACTCGCATGAAGTTTTGTAGGCTTTAAGAGGAAAAATTTCCACAAATTAAGAGGAAAATTTCCACACATTTCCACAAATTCAGAGGAAAATTTCATTTCATGAGAGTCATTTATTGTACTTTGTAGACTGTAGTTCATTCCCTGTATTTTCTTAGCACCTTCTTCTGCCTCATAACTGCAGAAGTCACAGAGAAGTGGGCACTTGTTCAGATAATGAATGCTGTCCCAAAAATCAGCGAACAACTCCTTTAGGAAGAGAAAGACATTGGAAAGACTTTTTTTTTTTTTTTTTTCAATAGTGTAGCCCTAAAAATACCTTCTCTACTACGGCTTTTCATGTTCCTGGAAACTTTTGAAAGTATGTGTGATTCAGAGCAAACAACAACATGTATTGCAACAGGGCTCTATAGAAATCCTCTGCTGTCAAAGGGATGATACACATCTTAGCATAAGGACAAGAGGCCTGTCTTCTTAGCTCAAGTAAGACTCTAAGTGATGGCTAAATTCAATATGGTACATCCATTTAGTGTTAGTGTATTTCAGACACAAGCTGGCAATGCTAGGAAGCAGAAGCGTTAGTTAACAGAAACTTCTGTCATTTACATGTAAACTTGAACTCTAAACCCCCCTGTAAAACTCGAACAGTTTTTAAAAGTTTTATTTTAATTAACCTGTTAAAGAGTTCAAATTCAACAATGTAATTTTAATTTCTAGCAGTTTAAATGTAACAGTTTAATTTTAGCAGTTGTGTACTATCTCTCTCAATTGCATTTCAGGTTCATGAAGAGGAGTAAGTGCAGTCCAAGCTGACAAATATGAGAAGAGGCTTCATATAATCAGGCATAACCAAAAGCAGGTGTATGGGAAAAAAAAAAAAAGCAGTTACAGAAATAAATGTCATCTGAAAACCCAAAGAGACTCTGTAGTGGATTACATTCATTTCCATGTATTTCTGTTTTGTCAAGCTCCAGGGATCAATACAAGATTACACACTGCCAACAACCCACTTCATTATGTTGGAACAAAACCTAATTGGCAGATGAAATCAAACCTAAGGGCAAATCCAGTCACGTTTCACAGTCCCACATCCTTCATGTGCAGATCGTTAAAGCACTCTGGTTTAAACCTGTGTAGGGGCAGCCCTAAAAGCTGGGATAGCCCAGCTTCTAGCTGTCCTGCCAGTCAAAGGCTACACCTTTTTTTAGGACAGCAGAAACTAAATTTAATGCAAATGGTCAGTTTAGAAACTTCCACTAGTATCACTGAAAGCATTTTTGTTCTCCAGCTACACAAGGGGCCTAAAAGATGCTGCTGAGGGACTTATCCCATAAGGACTGCCCCTGGCTCATAAACAGCATTCTTTTAAGACATTTCAATGTCAAAACTGAAAACAAAGGGAAGAGTTGTCATGGAACTGGAATTACAATACTCAACGAAGTACAAAACAGTAAGCCCTCTCTTCCCCTCATAGTCCAAAAACAAACCCAAAGGCCACCGACACTCAAAACTCAACCTTGTGTGACACTTTTTCATTGTCCTTTTAGTACACTCGCATTCCGGTTCTTCATGCAGACTCCTCACATACAAATGTCAATTGACTTATATATGTTCTTTGTCACTTCACTTGTCTGTTATTGTTGTTCAGATGATTGCCTTTCCACTTGGTTCTCAGTGTAATTCAATAGGGAAGACGAAGGAACTCCTCTGCTCAAGCTTGTATTTCAGCAGCATTCTCAGTAGTGTCTGTGTTTGTGGAGACGGGTATTTTTTGGTATGTCAAAGTGCTTATAGCACTCCTGATCCCTTGCATCTTGTAGTGATCCCGATTTTCTATTTAAACAAAAACATCCATGAGAACTACTGATGCATAAAATTAACCCCCCAGTAGGAACAGAACAAGACATACTCATGTTAGAGGTAAGTCACTATCTTCTATTTTAATGTCAGCTGAATAAAATAAACATGTACATAAAAGGGCAGCAGCATTCCTGTTTCTTCCATTTAGTTCTCATCAATGTAAACAGAGCAGTGTTAACTTGTAAATTACTCTGCTTCCTCCAATTATATGTTAAAGGTTTCTACAGGTCCCAATATATATTCATCTTGCTTAAGTTCTTTAAATGAAACAGCTTCATCTCAAAGGTATTGGTTCTATTATTCTATCAGGGAGACAACCATATGTCCTTCTGACTTGGTAGCACTAGTAAATAGGACAGATGTACAGAGAGATGAATTAGAGGCTATATGCTCACAACAGTCTCCCAAACAAAGCAATTTGCATGTCTTTACACAAACAAGCTGCGTTGAATTTTGAAGTTGGACAGAGCTGAAGTGATAATTTGGGCCCAAATGAATGCTAGTACAGCCCATAGATCGGGGATCTTGGCCGGTTTTGTTAGTCTTAAATAAAAGTGAGAGAAAATTACAAAAATGCTCGATTATTTTCAAAGCAAGCTATCAGCAAGTATTTGTGACAGGTAATCAATTTTTTTCATCTTTCTATAGAGTGCAGGAGAGCAATCTGGTCAAGGAAAGGGCATGTTAGCATTGTTACAACTAAAATACTATTGCCTAGATGTGCTAAGGAGGGCTTTTGGACACAGAATATAGAAAAAATAGGGCAGTTTACTTAAGCTGAGATTCGTTATTCTAAGTTTTTCAGTGTTGTTTGCATCCTTTATCCCATGAAAATCAAATCTGTTTTGGTCAAACATTCAAGGTCTGAAATTCAGCTTAATAGTATGCTCAAAAGTAAATACCATAATGTTTGTACGTACCTTGCGACAGAGACAGACCCCTATCGCTGCCAGTCCTATTACTGCCAGTCCTATCAGCACCAGTACAAGTAATGTCACAGTTTTCCAAGTGTTATCTGAATGTTCTATAGAAATACAAATTCCAAAATGTTAAACAGGAACTCAAAAACTTATTGAATAATAGTGAATATTAATTTGTGATATTTTATATTCAATTATTCATTGTCATTCATTGTTATTTGATACTTACATCAAAATTATGATTTTTCTCTTACTTATAATCTCATACCTATGATTAAGGCAGAACATTTCCATTTATTGTTAATGGTACTGATACAATGGTCAAGTTACATGACCCATCCTGTAAGTGAAGATTTCAAAAGGATACTTTAATGAATTAAGAGTGAATGGGTAAAAGCCAATTGCTTTACTTAACTGTGCTGATAGAAAATTGTGTTCTCATTAAATATGATTTGAGAACTTCTATACATGTCCTGTTGATAAACACCTAAGTTCTCAGGTGGGTAAATGCTGCTTCCAGGTACAGTGCTTAATGCCATTAACCGTACTCACGATTTGCAGAAGTGGGTGGTACCAACAGATTCCACAGGACACAAAAGCCCATCTAGCCAAGGTTGGCTCTGGTTCTAGGCAGCATTGTTTCAGCTCCTCTCATCAATATGAGAACACTCACATTTGAAGGACTCATTTGTTCATCTACAGTTCTTCTATTTCAGGTTTCCTTTCCACTGCCGCATCTTGTTCAAAAACATTTTTTTGGAAATTTCTACACTCCGCCGTAAACTTAGGTTTACAGGATAAGGACGATCATGCTGGAATGTGAGCTTCAAGGAGGTATGTTTGTCTGACTCAACAGTTTTCTTTACACTAACTCCCCTCCTTCACATATATACCATGTGTATAGTCGCTGCCATTTAGAACACCCTATAGTTTCAGACAGAAACCAAGCTGTGGTGGGGAAGGAAGGGAAGACAAATATCCAGGTGTTATAACTTACTCTATTCCCATTTTTGCTATGTTGCCTCTGTGTTTCGCATTCTGCAGACTGTTTCAAGTTTACTTCTTTTTTAAAACAATAATGGAGGTTCCATATATTAGTTCTCTGTCTTTGAGTTGATTGCATTTAATGGATGCCTACTTGCTACTGCTTGAATGTGGTTTTGTTTTTTTTCCATTCCCTTTGAACGGAGAGTTCAAGAGGCACCACCCCAAACAGCACGCTGTTTTTGAAAATCTCTGTAATTGGTTTACACTATAATTTTAAAACGCTGGAGTCAATTTTTAACCTTAAGTAAGAGTTTTCAATAGATAGAGAAGTTAATCCTAAGTCTGCTTGAAACCAGAGAAAATGAAGTATCTGTAACTAAGACTTCACAGCTGGATGTTTACTACAGTTCATAAAAAGGAAGGCATACATACAAACATACATATTTCCAAGTGTAAAAAAGGCCTGCTGTGTAGAATTAAAGCTTTGAAAATAACAACTACATGCTTTTCTCAACACGGTTTCTTCCACAGAATAAAAATTGTACCACTTCTATGGGCATGCCTTCATCTCCCTTTAAAGAGAGTATTTGCTACCAACACAGCATTTAGGATATGAGTCCATAAGTTTCTTTGTGCTCTCAGCTGCACAGCCCTCTGTGCTTTGAAGAAAGAAAGAAGTCTTTAAATACATATGTCTTAATGTTTTTCAGTATTTCACAGATTTCTGGTTGACTCTGGCCCTGTATTCCCCTCATTTGTCCCCACCCTCTGATAGGGAAGGAGCAGCAACTTACCAACTTCCAAAGTTCTCACAGTAAGTTTTGTGTAGTGAGGTGTTGAAATGTTACAGAGATATTCTCCACTGTCACTTGTGGTAAGATCACTCAATAGCAGTGAAAAGTCCCTTTGGTTAATCCGGACCTGATAGTGGAGATAGGTAAAGGTACCATTGAAGGTGGCCAGGACTGAGGTCACTGAATTTCTGATTCGTTTCCAGACAACGCTGATGCCCTCTCTGTGTAAAGTGTCACTGCTGAATTCACAAGGAATGACAATGCTACTTCCTTTTGCTTTTGACAGTTGGTCTGAAACAGACAATTACAAAACACTCTGTAACTGTTTTAAAAGATATTATCAAGGATGGTTAGTTTTTTCATCAATTGGTACAACACAAACATTTCAAAACATACTCCATTGTTTTGATATCCCATTCAAACATCACAGTATTCTTCTAGAAGAATTTAAAGATTTTTAAATACAAACTGATCATATATACTTTTTTAAAAAAATCTAATTTGTAACAACATATACCTGTTAAAAATGAATTTCTTTTCATTTTGCTATTTCTCACCTGAACTGGGGGACTATGAGGGACTGACTAACAGATCTGATTCGACCTCGTGATGGGCAGGTAAGTGGAACTAACAGTTAATGATCCAATAAAATACTAGTATGGGACAAATTAACATCATAGCATGACTATCTATTTAACTGCAGAGATCTGCTACAAGCAAGGGAAAAAACAGGAGGCATGGTGGCTGGCAGTCTGCTGGAAAGGAAGTATAATACATTATTTTGACATAGCATAACCACACTTGGTTTCTGTGCATGGATCCAAATAAGCAGAGGTGTGGTGCTGAAAACCATTAGGAAAGAAAGAAACGGTACCCAGTGCTGCTATTATATAAGGAACAGGAAAGCAATATATTCTCAAAACTGTTTCAGCGAGACAGCAGACAGATGCAGGGCAATTTAAACAACGCTGTAATGAAATGGACCTTTTCCACTTGTGACTTGGAAAGGCAGATGAACAAAACAGACGTTTCTGGTGCACTTGTTACCTGCTCTGATACCATAGTTGAAGCCTTCCAGAGTCGGAAGGTACGTAAATTAAAAACACCACCCTTGTTCTGAAGCATATGCGGTGGGTTAGGAGCTGAGTGTGTACTGGGTACACTTCAGGGAGAAATCTGAGCAATGGAGGCAGCCGTGCATATCCAATAAGGGAACTGCTCTTGCATTCCTCTTGATCCAATTAAAAATACTTCCTAAGATACGTGAGAGGCTGAAAAGTACCAGCTTCTGAATTTCCAGAGAATGCTTGAGAATTGCTTGAGAAAAAATGGAGACTGTAATTTTCGTATCTCTGTTTTCCATTAAATAACAAGATCGGCTGCAGTTTGCCCAAACATAAGCAGTGCTGCTGTTCTTCACTCCCATGCACCCCACATGCTGCACCTGGGTACTTAAGACTGCACTTCAGGAGAAGTAAGAATAAAGGATTGAATGGTACTGAAAACACTCTGGCACAAGGTGGAGAACAGACAAAGAAACATACACATCAAGAACAAGAGACATCACTCAATCTCATATAACCCTTTCCACATATTTTGTCTGAGTTCATTCTTTTTTTGACAGTGTGAAGTTTGATCATTATGCGTCCCTTGAAATGTGAAACTGATACAGAAAAAATACTGAGAGTAAAGCAAACTTACAGAAATGTGAGCTACCCCCTCCTTTCCCTACTTCTTGGACTTGTGCTGGCTTGTAATTGTAACTGAGGAGTTTCTAAGAGGATGGTGATGCAACCTCTTGCATTATGCCATACCCATGCTGCCCCACTGCAGTGTAGTGGATTTATTGGGCTCAGAACCCAGCCATTGCACTCCATAAGGTTGCAGGAAGAGGCCTCCCTTTATTCCTACCTTTCATCCTCCATTCAGCAGTCCACTTCCCTTGAGGGAGAGGAATATGACAGGAGTAAGGATCAGATGTGGTTATAATGCCCTGGTGACTTCGAAGAGAATAGAGAATGCCATCCCTGGTTTCCTCACGATGTGTTTCTTGGATGGTTTTATTGCCCATTACCCAAGTTATATTTGGTGCTGGATACGTAAGAAAGGCAGAGCATGTCAGCATCCTTTCTGTGTCTTTCTTTTGGTACTCCAGTGCATAACAAGAGGAAACTAGATTAAAACAAACAAGAAAACACAGCAGTCCTATTATTTTCAAAATCCTTTCCAAGTTGAAGTGATTGGTCTTTCGAAATGACACTGGGGAGAATAAGCACAACAGAAAACAAAATTTAATGTGGCTTCAGGAGAAAGAATGGCATTACTTATTGTTAATGCTGTGGTCTATACTGTTCTAAAAAGCCGTATGATGTTTTATGACTCAGGTACACCAACTGCCCTTTGGAAGTCACTGTGCAGTAGGTTATCAGAAGCAATGATGCACTGTGATTTTTTAACTTGTTACATTTCTCCAGAGACAAAGAGAACACCAACAGGCCCAAGAGGTGCTCTGTTCCCCTGGAGGATTTCAATACCATGTCAGAAATCATGTCAGACAATCTGTGGGTATTACCCGGTTTCTACTAGCATCATCCAAGCACTTTTGTTATCTTACTGACCTTGCACATGCAGCTCAACTTCCACTTCTGTTTTAGTTTGTTGTGTTCCCACATAGCAGAGGTAAAGGCCCTCGTCAGTCAAGGTCAGGTTACTAAGCTTCAAGGAGGCATTTCCATGAGGAATATGCTCATGAAAAAGGTGAGTTCTGTTTCTGTAATTCAGGTGTTGTCTTTCCAGATAATCCCTCCTGTCGTAGTAGCTATGTACATCATTGTCTTCTTTCTTCCAGTAAATTACTTCATCATCACCAGGTGGAAAAGGACAAGGAAGGATGACATCCTTTGCAAACAGCCCTGTTACTGTTTCCTTTTCTGTAGAAACGTGTAAGTACAATTGAGTGGATTACATTAAATCTAGCTTATAAGCATTTTTCTGCCCCTCCTTATGCCTGACCCAAAAAGTTCTTTGGCTCCAACAGGTAGAACACTCCCACCATGTGTTTCAACAGCACACTCTTTCCAAGATTTTCTGTAGCACAGATCTGTGGGACAGCAAGGGTGGCAGCTTTTCTCCGTTAAGTTTGATCAGTATCATAATGCAGGGCTCTGAGCTTTGAACTCAGGTTAAGTGGGCAACCTGACTAACCATCTGTACATTTACATCAGCATGCCTCTGCCTTAGCCACCTGAGTTTCCTGTGCTTTTCCAAAAGCACCACCTCCGATCCCAAATCCGGGTGAGAGAGTCCCCAGCCTCAAGCTGCAGCTTGTTCCTCACTCATATGTTCATAGAGCTGGCTGGCAATGATCTGGGTGATCAGTGACCCTTACGCAGTGCCAAGCAGTTGTACAGACAAAAGCACGCAATTGTGCGACTGACAGGAAGGACAGAACTTCTCAAAACGGCTTCACCACTGCCGAGTTGATCCTTAACCATTAATAAATAATGTCAGAATTAATTCCCCCATCAAAAAAAAGAATAAGAGTTGTCATCTTTATCATTTTTTCATAAACAACAGAATTAAAACCTACCCCAAGTTGTAGCACATATGGAAAGCAAACAGAGAAGAGATGGTATCTTCTGCCCCTTCATGTCTTCGTTGGTTTATTCACCTCAAACTGACAACAAAAAAGGAGGGGAGACAGACTTTTTAAACGCAGCTAAAAGATTTGCCCCTCACTTTGGGGTCCACGGCTCAGTCACCAAACCACATGTCTTGGATGCTACCACATGTCAAGAGGATGCTACCTCTTGCCCTATCCCATAGCCATCCTGCCCCGCTGCAGGTGTAGTGGATTTAATTGGGCTCAGGACCCAGCTGTAGCACCCCCACAATGATGCAGGAAGAGGCCAAGCTGTTGTACGGACAAAAGTACACAACTGTGTGACTGAGAGGAAGGACAGAACTTCTCAAAATGGCCTCACCACCACTGATGGCATCCGGGAATGCTGTCCCAGCCCCAGCGCAAGTCAATAATACACAAAGAATATGCAAATGCTATTGATGTTCAATTTCAGAATTTTAAGTGAATATTTTTCACAACCAATTGTATTCACTTGGTGACACTGCATGGACATTCTTGGTCAAGGTCACACAACCTTGCTGGGCTGGTGGCAAGTGCCTGGCTGTAGCTGTTTGCCACTGCCGTCTTGGAAAGCTCGATGCCCTCTCCAGCGCAGGGAGATCTGGCAACCCTGGCAGAGCAATCTGCACGACTTTCCCTCAGCTATCTCAGCACAAGCCCACCCAATGTAATTCAAGCCACTTTTAGTGCTAACAACTACTGACCACTGAGTGGTATCACAACGTACTCCACCAGCCAAGCTGTGTGGCACAAATGTGGGCAGCTGAAGCCCAGGTGCTTAACACACTCAGTGGCCATGGACATTTGTGACACAATCTTTGTCTTCTTTTGCTTCAGGAGTGTTTTACCCCAAATTGATTCTTAACTGTTAATAAATAATGTCGGACTTAATTCCCCTGTCAAAAAAAAAATAAATAAGAGTTGTCATCTTTATCGTTATACATAAGCAAAAGAACTAAGCCCTACCCCAAATTGTAACACATATGGAAAGTAAACAGAGGAGAAGAGATGGTGTCTTATGTCCCTTCATGTCTTTGTTGATTTATTCATTTCAAACTGACAGCGTAAAAGGAGGGGAGACGACCTTTTTAAATGCAGGTAAAAGATTTGCCTTAACTGTGTTGTTATCTTTGTACAGTTTATCAGGGCCTGTATCATGCTTTTAGTTCGCAGTAAGTTGGGACCAGATTTTTGGCCCTTACTGTACATTTTATAACGGTTGGGGGCCGCTCCTTACAATGTAATTCACCTTCTCATTTTTTCATGTGTTAACCCTCAGTGTTATTACAAGGCTAGGAAAAAATAATCTTCAAAATTCATGAATAGGACACCGAGGGAAAGCGGTCAAGTGCCTTTTCCAAAAGGATGTAAAATGTCCCTTGTCAAGCCAGATTTTTTCATTTCCTAAAACAGATTCCTTGTTACTGCAACAAAGTTTTCTTATTAATGCAACATTTGCCTTTTGGAATTTGCAAATGCTGCAGGCATAAAGAGTCTTTACTTGATCAAAAGTGCATTGGCTGAACTTGGAAAAATGCATCTAGAGACTAGGAAGTGTAGGGTAGGAAGGAACACAGAGGAGGCTCTCCCATCAGTTTTGCTGATTTGCCAGTAAAATGGCAACGTGGCAAGCTTACATACAGAGCAGCACAAGCATAATCATAACATAACTGACAGATCATATCCTTGCTCCATCCACGTGAACTACTTCTTAATACAGCACAACATGGTGATCACGACTCATGTAGTTGGAAAAGAATCTAAAAGTCTTCCTCTATTCCTTCTCTCCTGAGAGGAGAGCTATGGGTACTATTCCTGACTTAGACCGGGCACAGCCTGAGCTGGGTTTGCTAACTGGTTTATATGCTCCTACATCAGTACTTTTTCTGCAGAAGCATGCCGAGTGTTGGCTCTGGGCAGCAGCTCTGGGGTCTTACAGGCAAGAAGAATACACATGGTGATGGTTAGTCACTGCAGAGTACTGAAGAAACATGTTTTGCTTATTGTTACGAATCTAAATGGCACAATCAAGAAATTACGTGCAAAGTGTCTGCTTTGAAAGATCAGTATGGAGTAATTTATACAGACAACGCGAAAGTAGAAACAAGATCATTGCAGTAACGTGAGTTACTCCTACCCCCATTTTCGGGGGATGGATTTCCTACAGAAACGATAATCTGATAATAAGATGATTTCTGATAACAACATGATATTAACAGCAGGATAATAACAGCGCGTTTCAGGAATGCACGCATTTAGGAGAACTAAATACCTGTACATGTCAAGTTTTACCAGCGAGCAAACAACCACATATATATATATGTATTTATATGTATATATATGTATATATATATATTCTTACCTTTTTTTTTCCATGAGACATTTCCCGCCCCGTACAGAGAGTTTATTGAAATGTTCGCGCCGTTCCCCAGGATTGGCTGCCATCCTCTCCTGCCCGCCCCGGATGGCCGACGCGGTTGCCATGGTTACGGGCGGTGGCGGGGGGGGGGTGTGCTCCGAAATGGCGGCGGAGCGGGAGGAGGAGGTGGCGGAGCGGGGCCCTGGCGCGGCCTACCAGGCCTTCGTGCTGATGGAGGAGCTGCGGGACAAGCTGAAGCTGCTGGGCTGCGAGGAGGAGGAGGCGCTGCGGCGGCACAACATGCGCCCGATCTCCAGGTCGCGGCCCGGCCCGGCGGCGTTGGGGCGGGCGGCGAGGAGCTGGGCCTGAGGTGGCGGTGTCTGTCTGTAGGCAGCGGCTGGGTACGGGCAGAAGCGTAGTCCCACGAATGCCCACGTTGAAGGAGAGGCCCGAGGATGAGCTCGGTAGCTACAAGCTGCTTTTAGCCAGCTGTCTGACCACCTGTGTATGTGCAGCAAGGAAAACAGACCTTTTATGGGCTAAATGCTTCTCAGGGCTCACTAGGTATGCCAGCAGACCATATTTTTCCATTCAGTTTGATCCAAAACAGATCCAGTTTTTCACGCTTTTTTTTTTTTTTAATCACGCTTTTAGTTCACAATAAGTTGGGACCAGATTTTTGGCCCTTACTGTACATTTTATAACGGTTGGGGGCCGCTCCTTACAATGTAATTCACCTTCTCATTTTTTCATGTGTTAACCCTCAGTGTTATTACAAGTCTAGGAAAAAATAATCTTCAAAATTCATGAATAGGACACCGAGGGAAAGCGGTCAAGTGCCTTTTCCAAAAGGATGTAAAATGTCCCTTGTCAAGCCAGATTTTTTCATTTCCTAAAACAGATTCCTTGTTACTGCAACAAAGTTTTCTTATTAATGCAACATTTGCCTTTTGGAATTTGCAAATGCTGCAGGCATAAAGAGTCTTTACTTGATCAAAAGTGCATTGGCTGAACTTGGAAAAATGCGTCTAGAGACTAGGAAGTGTATGGTAGGAACACAGAGGAGGCTCTCCCATCAGTTTGGCAAGCTCACAAACAGAAGAGCACAAGCATAATCATACTGTAGCTGACAGACCACGTCCCTGCTCCATCCACATGAACTACTTCAAAATACAGCACAACATGATAACAACATGATATTAACAGCAGGATAATAACAGCACGTTTCAGGAATGCACGCATTTAGGAGAACTAGAAATGCCTGAGCACGCCAAGTTTTACCAGCGAGCAAAGGACCACAGGTGTACAAATTCTTACCTCTTTTTATTTTTTTTTTCCACTTATTGATAAAACTCCATGCCTGCCGTACTAATTTTCTAGAATTTTCCCTCTGAATCTTCAGGAGACATTGGTGTAGTAAACTGGGTCCGTGCCTCATACAGCTTGCCATAGAAAATTTGAATCTCCGCGCCTTTCGCCAGGATTGGCTGCCGCTACCACTCTCGGCGCCGGCTTGCTATGGGCGGGGCGGGCTCTGAAATGGAGGCGGAGCGGGAGGAGGAGGTGGCGGAGCGGCCCACTCCAGGTCGCCGCCCGGCCCGGCGCGGAGGCGTTGGGGCGGGCCTGAGGCAGAAGCAGGGCCGAGGAGCGGGGCCAGCGCCTCACCAGCCGCACGTCCTGGTCCTGGGGTGGGGGCGAGGGGAAGGGACCGCCACGGAGGTAGCGTGCTTTAAAAAAAAAAAAAAAAAAAAAAAAGAAAAAAGAAAAGTATTTTGACAGCTTAAGAGCTCCATGTGTGACTTTGGAGCTGCCAGGATGTGTAACTTTTCTGTGGTGAGGGACACTTGGGAGGTGCGACTGCTATGTTGTCGCATCCGGCTGCCCCGCTGAATTTCAGATCCATCTGACGGTGTCAAACAGGTCCAACAGCAGCGTGTCACACACCGGAACGTGCTGTAGGCAGCGGCTGGGTACGGGCAGAAGCGTAGTCCCACGGATGCCCACGTTGAAGGAGAGGCCCGAGGATGAGCTCGGTAGCTACAAGCTGCTTTTAGCCAGCTGTCTGACCACCTGTGTATGTGGAGCAAGGAAAACAGACCTTTTATGGGCTAAATGCTTCTCAGGGCTCACTAGGTATGCCAGCAGACCACATTTCTCAGTTCAGTTTGATCCAAAACAGACCCAGTTAGTCTACCTCGCTCCCTGAAGTGACCCAAAAGACAGTGGGTGAGAGTGCCTGGAGAAATTGCTTTGGAAGCACGCTCCTGATCCCAGCTGTCCGCCAGTCTCTAGCCTACATGCTAGCAGAGGAAGGCAGGAAGGGGAAGAGATCTGGGGAGTTAGGAAGCCAGAGGAGCTGGATGTATTCCCAGTATCAGGAAGAGATGTTAAGGAAGGCCTGGGTGGAGGGCTTACTCTGGTACAGTGTCGCAGATGAGGACACGACTCAGCAGGACATCAAGCAATGTTGCTCCAGTAAAGTTGCTTTCCCATCCTCACAGAAGTGCCATTCAAGTTTTCATATGGTCAGTTGGTGAAAAACAAACAAAAAAATACTATTTTTAATGAGGCATATTAATAGGAGTACCCAGGTTTAGTTTGGTTCCCTAGAAGTCTAATATTGGTTAAGACTTGCTCAAAGCAGGAAACAGATAAGCTGCATGTGGAAGGTGTAGTCTACTGCAGTTATATGTGAAACTAGAGATCCTGAATGTAGTTCAAATAGTTTACTCTCTGAGGATGTCAGTTAAAGAACCTGTTTTCCTAGCCTGTGCTGGCCTAGAATGCTATAGTTGCTGCAGGAGTTTGCAGTCTATTTATTTACTGTTTTCCTTCCTTTTAAACAGGCACTACTTTGCCCTGCCCACTAATCCTGGTGAGCAGTTCTTTATGTTTTGCACACTTGCCGCTTGGCTGATCACTAAAGCAGGACGTCCCTTTGAGCAGCCACAAGAATACGATGACCCCAATGCAGTAATATCAAACATACTCTCAGAGCTGCGTTCGTTTGTAAGTGTTGAACACGCTGTTTTTCCAAGTGCATTTCAAGCATAGGCATCACTTTCAGAAATATCAGTAATAACACATTTCCTCCGCTGTCTGATTATGTTCCCAAAGACTGGACAGACTTTCCCTTTATGTGTAGAAATGAGCAGAAATGAGGCCATTCGGCGGAAGAAGAAGATGGAAGGGGACCTCAATGAAATGGAAATTCAGCTCAGCCATGCCAACAGGCATGCTGCAGAAGCAACGAAGTCAACACGTGTCCTGCAAACACAAATAAAGGTACTCTGAGAGCTCTCAGTCCCAGGCTGGGTTTCATAGCACACAGCAAAACAGTGCTGGTGATTAAGAGAAGCTACTCTCAGGCACATGCGGGAAAAGCCCTTAGTGATCACTTCTGACACGAGAGAGCACTGAACTATGGATCTCTTCCGAGACTTGCATACAAGTGGGATGAGATCCAGGTGTAAAACCCCTGCTGGCTACAGTTTCCCGTTGGGGCAGAAAGTTACAGCATGAGGTACCGAAAATCTGATTTCCATGTGAGCTTGCAAGGCCTTTAAAAGTGGAGAGCGCGTCAGTTAGCCAGAGTACAGATTGTGTGTGTATATTCAGCTTTCTAATGTGCTTCAACGTAAGTAATTTTTGTTGTTGTTGTTTAAAGAGCCTTGCTAAGAGACCTTTCAAGTCATCGCCTGCCTCATCTCTCTCCCATGCTATGAAGCTGGTTCTGCCTCGGGCAGAAGCACGAGTTCTGACAGATTGCAGATCAGGTTTTTCCCTCTTTGCATCACATACCACAAAAGCTATTCAGATTACGGTCTGGAGGAAGCCTTTCTCGAATAAAGAAGCACAGAGCTTCTAGAGGTGGTCCTCTCATGTAAGCGCAGTAGCTCAAACTGCATTTGGACTGGTAAAAACCTGTCTGCTTTGTTATAGGAACTTCAGGTGCAGCTGGATGACTCCGGGCATGTGAATGAAGATCTGAAGGAACAGCTGGCAGTCTCTGACAGGAGGAACAATCTTCTCCAGTCGGAGCTGGACGAGCTGAGGGCTTTGTTGGACCAGACTGAACGGGCAAGGAAGCTGGCAGAGCATGAGCTGCTGGAAGCCACCGAACGTGTGAACCTTCTGCATACTCAGGTTGGCTTCTTCTGGGTTAAACAGCCTTGCCTGTTAAGCCCTGACACTGTTTGTCCATTGCTGTCATAAGGCAGACACACTCCTTGCCCACCTTCAAGGTAGAAAATGGTAGAGGAAATAAGTCACTCTGCAGGAATGCCACCTCGTTACTGTCAGGTTAGCTGGAACTGATGACTCAACCAACTGCATTAAACAGTTCACAGAAAATATAAGGATGGGAGATAACAAGAATAAATTTTATTTCTTACTTTCTTTGGTGCTATATAAACCCAGCTTCCTGATTTCATTAGGCTGAGGCTGGGATAGGGAAGCATTTATATGGAAAAGCAGCAGTGTCTGCACAAGGTGCTGTTATTATTTAGCAAAGCAAACTTCAATGCCTCATGAGCACTAGGTGCATTGTGCACGGCAGCAAAGCATGCTCTGCCACATCAGGTCTTTGTTAAGAGAGCCCTTTGGACTTGGTCACAATGGGCACCGCAGATTTTACAGGGTTGTGGAGGCATATATCCTGAGTCCCCAGCACTTTTGCTGCAAAACCCAATCTTCTCTTCACCAAACAACCAACATTCAGAAGGAGATGAAAATGAGCTGCAGGCTGGCAATATTTTGTAATATTCAGCACGTGTGATACTTCAACAGTCTGACGTGGGACTTTTGTTTTAATCACCTTATTGACTAACTGATAACGGATCATTACTTTTCCGAGATGAACTGCTTTATTCATTCTTCTGTTTCAGCCTCTTGCTTATTATTTTACCTGAATTGAAATCTGAATATTTACGTTGTTGAAAGTATTTGTAATATTTCCTCAGTCTGAAGCTAAGCTACATAGTAAAGGCCAACCCTTACCCCATACGTGGACCTCCCTCCCTAAATATTGCTCTGTGTAATCCAGGGGCTGCAAAAAACATTAAGCCTTTGTGTGCTATGGTATTTAGAGAAGTTATGTCTCAATTAATCATTTTTCCTGATGTTCCACTGTTTCTTTTGTGGAAAACATTATAAAGAACACCAGCCTAATCAATCAGAAGAAGAAGCTGGAAGGTGACATTTCCCAGATGCAGAATGAAGCGGAGGAATCAATACAGGAGTGCCAAAATGCAGAGGAAAAAGCTAAGAAAGCAATCACAGATGTAAGTAGCCTCATTGCTTGCTCAGTTTGTTTCAGTACCACACTGTCTTAGGACAAGCCAGCATTTCCCAAACACCTGTTACAAACCTGATATATCTGAAGTGCTCCACAGTTATCTGGAGGCAGCTGATGAAACTACAAAAGGAAACAGACTAGAGGTTAGGAGAAAGGAAATACTTCTGCTTGATCTTTTTTTATTCTTACTTTCCCTGAGAATGCAGCTTCCACTGATCCCCAAAGTCTCAGGTCATGTCACCTTTGAATTGGGTGGATTAGATACCTGGATAGGCTAAACTACTTCAGACAGAACAGCACTAACAGGTCGCCAGGTGTGCATAGAATCTGCTGTGAGGAGTACAATTCCCAAATCCAAAATGAGGCATCTGTTAGAAAAACGTGAGGATGAAGTTCCCAAGAAGAGACAGTGAGCGCATTCTTCCTGTCAGGAAGATGACATTTTGGACTAGTATAGTTTCTTTCCCCACAGACCTGGAGAAACAAAGAGTTTGGCTGACATATCACATCATACCAGCAGACAGAGTAAAATCTAGAACTGGATGTTTCTGTGAGTTGTGTCTGGAGCGCCTGGATGAAGCTATTCTTGTACCGTGGTCTTCACTGCTTCTCAGCTGGCAGTTCTGTTACTGCCTGCCAGAGAGAAGACACCGACTGTCCTTGATTCAGCTCCAGCCTGGACTGCAGTGCTTGCTGTCTTCGGATGGATGTTCAGTGATGGATACAAGAATCTGCAAATGGCTCTAGGAGGCAGGGACACGTGTCAGATCAGACATGAGCTCATTGGCACCCTCGTTACCAGTCTTAGAGGACGGTCAGGGAATATGTAAGATGCTGAAGCTGAGCTTCCTATCACAGCACAGACTGCAGAAATTGCTGTGCTGTTACAGCTGCTCAGGCAGCTCTTGTCTATGGCTGTGCCGGGAAACTCGTCTGCTAGTTTTTTTAATTCACTACCTTTCAAAACAATATTCAAGATCAAATTCCAATATTAGACTTGAAATAAGTTCTGGGTGAAATGCCTGCAGTGAGCAGCATAGGTTTACTTGTAGCTATTATAAATGAGGACATTGTGTAGCATGGATACAAACAAGCAAAGACTTATAATGTTAGAATATGGAGAGAAAAAAAAAAAGAAATGCATTGTCTCTGTCCAGGAGAGATAAACATACACAAACTATTCTTGGTAGCATTAGGTGTATAGCCAATGAGCCAAGTAGTGGATTATTCAACATGGATCTGCTGTCATAAAGTTGGTTGTTTTTTCAGGCAGCAATGATGGCTGAGGAGCTTAAAAAAGAGCAAGATACTAGTGCTCACTTAGAGAGAATGAAGAAGAACATGGAACAAACCATTAAAGATTTCCAGAAATGATTGGATGAGGCAGAACAAATAGCCCTGAAAGGTGGCAAGAAACAGATCCAGAAACTGGAATCCAGGGTAAGTTTGTGATCAAACTATGGACTGCTACCTGCTGCTTTACAGACTTGGGAGTGGGTGGGTCCCCTGGGGTGCCTGGTAAGTTCAAAGGATGCAGCAGGTGAGCAGCAGCTCTTGGACACATCCTTCCCCTTCAAGATCCAGTTATAGTGAGCTGTGAGCTCTTGTAGCACAGTAGGTGACCAAGACCTTGATTTTTTTTTAGAAAAAAAAAGAAAAAAAAAAAAGGCAAGACATCTACAACTAGGAAAAGCCTCTACTTGGCTCAGATAAACTTTTTTGGTCTTTGCACATGTATATAGAGCATCTAGTTCTGAGTGGGGCCTTTGGCTGCTGGCACAGCTTAAATACATTTATGAAAAAATAGAATGAAAAAATCAACATTTTGACCTATTCCTCAAATTGAGCACTATTAAGTTGCTGAAGAAAATGAATATGTCTTGAACTGTGAACTAAGTTATCCTCTGCTTTATATTTGTAGCATAATTGCAAGGTTTTTTCCTTTTTTGCATGTTCGTGAACTGGAGAATGAACTTGAGACTGAACTCCGTCGCAATTCAGATGCCCAAAAAGGAGCCCGCAAGTTTGAGAGGCGCATTAAAGAGCTGACTTATCAGGTACGCCGAGGACTGTAGGAACCACTAGATCCCTGGAAAGAAATGTTTTCTCCCTGTCCGGGACTGAATTTGTTTCAGTGAAGGATGAAGGAGGGCATTACCCAGAGCTTTCTCATTGCAGGAAGCTTTAGGGATGGGAGGAACATCTTCCTAGTGCTACCATCGTCTTGCCTGACGAATTGTAACCAGCGTTAGCTTACTATTGCTGGGATTTGGACAGTTTCAGCACAGTACTAAATGGAGCAGGCTTACAGGACTATTCATACTGCAAGAGAAGAAAGAGCTCAGATGTCTCTCAGCTGTGCTGGTGTTGCTAAAAAGAGCCATAAGGAGTCAGTTAACTCTGGTGCATCACTCGGCATAGGGCTGCCCAGTCCCAGGGCTCTGTCACCTACTGCTGGGCAGTAAGGTCTAGTCTCAGCCTCCTGCAGGCTTACTAACAGCTGCTGTTGCTGCTTGCCTTTTGAAAAGGTCTTCAGCGCAGAGCACTGTTTCCCTTGCTTTCAACATGAATCCTGAGCAGATAATCCCAACCATCTGCTTTAGGATATTACTTAGCATCCTACATGTTGTCTTACTCTGGCTTGTGTGTGCAGAGGTTGTTTTCTTAGAAGACAGTGCTGCGGCGCAGGCAGACAGAATTAGCAGGTCCTTCTGATTATGGACCGTGACAGCTTAAACTTGGATCTTTTTGCCAGAAATGCCTGCCCCCAACACAAAATTTAAAATATGCAAATTACACGTATTTTAGGCCTGCCCACTGGTCTGTTTCACTCAGTAATGACGCTCTCTATAATGACAAGAGAGGTCCTCACCTGCCAAGCAAGGAACTCTGGGTGTACATGTGTGTGTGCATACATGTGTGTAGATATATCAGTTTTTACAGATATATATAAATTGGGAGGCTATTCTTAGTCCTCAGCAAGCAGGCCCTCACAAATCTTCAGCTTACAGATTTTTTTTTTCTCATCTACACAGAGGTTGATCACAATATGGCTTGTTTATATTTTAAACTACGCATTTGTAAAAGGACATATATGTCGCCCATAACTAGTGGACAGATGTTTTTGTACACTATTATCCTAACTGATGATGTTTTGGTACAGTCAGAAGAAGATAAGAAGAATCTGGCCCGGATGCAGGATCTGATTGATAAGCTACAACTAAAAGTGAAGAGCTACAAGCACCAAGCAGAGGAAGCTGTAAGTGACTATTTAGGCCTTTTTTCTCTGAGAAATTTGTTACCCTACAGCCACAATCTTTAATCGGCAAAAGTTTTTAGTACAAGTACCGAATTTGTGTGTATTACTATTTGTATTTATACAAACTCTGTATTTATAAATGTATTTATATACATAGTATATAGCATGTGTGTTGATTACATTAAGATATTCCATTTTATCTTAAGATTGGAGTGTAATTTGAAGGGGGTGGAGGGAAGGGGAGGAACAGGAAAGAGCTTTTCTTCTGGCTAGTCCCTCAGGAGACACGTTGAAATCCTCCCCGTTCACTTGAAATGAAGAGTGCCACTGCAAACAGCAAACCCTTCAACAAACAAAAACCCTCATCCCTCCAGGAGTCTAGTGGTTCCCATAGAAGTGTTGGTTATTCGTGTTGAGCACTTCTGTCCTGCTTGGCTTTGCTTCACCTGGACTGAAGGAAATCGGCTGTACTATTTTCTCTCACCAGGAAGCACAAGCCAATCTGAACCTTTCCAAGTACAGAAAACAGCAACATGATCTGGATGATGCTGAAGAAAGGGCTGAAATAGCTGAATCTCAAGTTAATAAGCTGAGGAGCAAGTCGAGAGATATTGGCATGAAAAAGGTATGGTTCTACCCTACAGAGCAAATGTGACAGGTTAATCCACGGTGGCACATGCTGTGTATACAGGAAGATCTGTTGCATCTCCTCAAGTAATATGGACTAGAGTAAATAGTGGTTTACTAATTTTTTTAGTTTCAGTCAACCCTTTGTTTTAACGTTACAGTAAATCTTTAGGACAGCAAGGTGTTGCTTATACAAAATGAAATCTCTGTTCTCTTGATGGTGTCACTTAACCTCTCTGCTCAGCATCCAGAAGTTGCCAAACTGTCTTTTTACATGGGATATTTAAAAGCTCCGTCTCTCTCTCTCTGTCTGATGTAGATTTCTACCTATGTAATAAAGCCGGGGGATTACTGCACTAGCAGATTGCCAGATACTTTAAGAGTGCTCTTTCAAAAATTGTATTGAAGAGCTTGATGAAAATAGTAGTCATTAGTCACTTGGATGCTGGGAAGTAATTAGTAACTAGGAGTATATTTGTGGTGGTTTGCACTTGATCAGATTGGTAGTAGATTAATACAGATGAAACTAAAAGGAGCCTAGGAACGTGGTCTGGAACTGAAAGCAAACCCTTGCTTGTCTATGCCTGCCTGATGGCAACCTCAGCAAGGAAGACTGGTGTAGGAAGGACAGAAAGAGGAGCTGGGTCATTGCTTTATCTATTTCATTTACAAATGTAATGTAAACTCCCATTCTTAATATCAGGTAAGTTTAGTGGGGGTACAGCTCCAAAGTCAAGTAACATAACAGAAACCTTTCTGTAACCATTTAGCTACTTCCATACCACTCAATCCCTTCTCTCTACTTTACCCACAATTCTGTGGGAGGAAATTTCTGCTTTTATATTGGACTAATAAAATCACCTCTAGTTGAAATGAATTCCTGTAGCTCCACCATCTACAGTAAAACTAGATGAACATCTGGACTCATGCATTTGCACGTGATGGAAGCAGTACTGCAACTGAAACTCGCATGAAGTTTTGTAGGCTTTAAGAGGAAAAATTTCCACAAATTAAGAGGAAAATTTCCACAAATTTCCACAAATTCAAAGGAAACTTTCATTTCATGAGAGTCATTTATTGTACTTTGTAGACTGTAGTTCATTCCCTGTATTTTCCTAGCACCCTCTTCTGCCTCATAACTGCAGAAGTCACAGAGAAGTGGGCACTTGTTCAGATAAGGAATGCTGTCCCAAAAATCAGCAAACAACAACTCCTTTAGGAAGAGAAAGACATTGGAAAGACTTTTTTTTTTTTTTTTTTCAATAGTGTAGCCCTAAAAATACCTTCTCTACCTACAGCTATTCATGTTTTTGTATGTTCAAAAGTATGTTCATACGTTTGAAAGTATGTGTGTTTCAGAGTAAACAACATCATGTATTGCAAGAGGGCTCTGTAGAAATCCTCAGCTGTCAAAGGGATGATACACATCTTAGCATAAGGGCAAGAGGCCTGTCTTCTTAGCTCAAGTAAGACTCTAAGTGATAGCTAAATTCAATATGGTACATCCATTTAGTGTTAGTATGCAGTTCTGGGCACCACAGTATAAAAAGGACGTGAAACTGTTGGAGAGTGTCCAGAGGAGGGCTATGAAGATGGTGAAAGGCCTGGAGGGGAAGACATACGAGGAACGGCTGAGGGCACTGGGCCTGTTCAGCCTGGAGAAGAGGAGGCTGAGGGGAGACCTCATCGCAGTCTACAACTTCCTCGTAAGGGGGTGTCGAGAGGCAGGAGACCTTTTCTCCATTAACACCAGCGACAGGACCCGTGGGAACGGGGTTAAGCTGAGGCAGGGGAAATTTAGGCTTGACATCAGGAGGGGGTTCTTCACAGAGAGAGTGGTTGCACACTGGAATAGGCTCCCCAGGGAAGTGGTCACTGCACCGAGCCTGTCTGAATTTAAGAAGAGATTGGACTGTGCGCTTAGTCACATGGTCTGAACTTTTGGGTAGACCTGTGCGGTGTCAGGAGTTGGACTTGATGATCCTTAAGGGTCCCTTCCAACTCAGAATCATAGAATATCCTATTTCAGACACAAGCTGGCAATGCTAGGAAGCAGAAGCGTTAGTTAACAGAAACTTCTGTCATTTACATGTGAACTTGAACTCTAAACCCCCCTGTAAAACTCGAACAGTTTTTAAAAGTTTAATTTTAATTAACATGTTAAAGAGTTCAAATTCAACAATTTAATTTTAATTTCTAGCAGTTTAGTAACAGTTTAATTTTAACAGTTGTGTACTATCTCTCTCAATTGCATTTCAGGTTCATGAAGAGGAGTAAGTGCGGTCCAAGCTGACAAATATGAGAAGATGATTCATATAATCAGGCATAACCAAAAGCAGGTGTATGGGGAAAAAAAAAAAAAAAAAGCACTTTCAGAAATAAATATCATCTGAAAACCCAAAGAGACTCTGTAGTGGATTACATTCATTTCGATGTATTTCTGTTTTGTCGAGCCCCAGGGATCAATACAAGATTACACACTGCCAACAACCCACTTCATTATGTTGGAACAAATCCTAATTGGCAGATGAAATCAAACCTAAGGGCAAATGATGAAATCAAACCTTAGGGCAAATCCAGTCACGTTTCACAGTCCCACATCCTTCATGTGCAGATCGTTAAAGCACTCTGGAGTAAACCTGTGTAGGGGCAGCCCTAAAAGCTGGGATAGCCCAGCTTCTAGCTGTCCTGCCAGTCAAAGGCTACACCTTTTTTTAGGACAGCAGAAACTAAATTTAATGCAAATGGTCAGTTTAGAAACTTCCACTAGTATCACTGAAAGCATTTTTGTTCTCCAGCTACACAAGGGGCCTAAAAGATGCTGCTGAGGGACTTATCCCATAAGGACTGCCCCTGGCTCATAAACAGCATTCTTTTAAGACATTTCAATGTCAAAACTGAAAACGAAGGGAAGAGTTGTCATGGAACTGGAATTACAATACTCAACGAAGTACAAAACAGTAAGCCCTCTCTTCCCCTCATAGTCCAAAAACAAACCCAAAGTCCACCGACACTCAAAACTCAACCTTGTGTGACACTTTTTCATTGTCCTTTTAGTACACTCGCATTCCGGTTCTTCATGCAGACTCCTCACATACAAATGTCAATTGACTTGTATATGTTCTTTGTCACTTTACTTGTTTGTTGTTGTTGTTCAGATGATTGCCTTTCCACTTGGTTCTTAGTGTAATTCAATAGGGAAGACAAAGGAACTCCTCTGCTCAAGCTTGTATTTCAGCAGTATTCTCAGTAGTGTCTGTGTTTCTGGAGATAGCTTATTTTTTGGTATGTCAAAGTGCTTATACGACTCCGGATCCCCTTCATCTTGGAGTCATCCCGAATCTCTATTTAAAACAAAAACATCCATGAGAACTACTGATGCATAAAATTAACCCCCCAGTAGGAACAGAACAAGACATACTCATGTTAGAGGTAAGTCACTATCTTCTATATTAATGTCAGCTGAATAAAATAAACATGTACATAAAAGGGCAGCAGCATTCCCGTTTCTTCCATTTAGTTTTCATCAATGTAAACAGAGCAGTGTTAACTTGTAAATTGCTCTGCTTCCTCCAATTATATGTTAAAGGTTTCTACAGGTCCCAATATATATTCATCTTGCTTAAGTTCTTTAAATGAAACAGCTTCATCTCAAAGGTATTGGTTCTATTATTCTATCAGGGAGACAACCACATGTCCTTCTGACTTGGTAGCACTAGTAAATAGGACAGTTGTACAGAGAGATGAGATTAGAGGCTATATGCTCACAGCAGTCTCCCAAACAAAGCAATTTGCATGTCTTTACACAAACAAGCTGCGTTGAATTTTGAAGTTGGACAGAGCTGAAGTGATAATTTGGGCCCAAATGAATGCTAGTACAGCCCGTAGTTTGGGGATCTTTGCTGGTTTTGTTTGTCTTAAATAAAAGTGAGAGAAAATTACAAAACTGATTATTTTCAAAGCAAGCTATCAGCAAGTGTTTGTGACAGGTAATCATTTTTTTCATCTTTCTATAGAGTGCAGGAGAGCAATCTGGTCAAGGAAAGGGCATGTTAGCATTGTTACAACTAAAATACTATTGCCTAGATGTACTAAGGAGGGCTTTTTGGACATAGAATATAGAAAAAAATAGGGCAATTTACTTAAGCTGAGATTTATTATTCTAAGTTTTTCAGTGTTGTTTGCATCCTTTATCCCATGAAAATCAAATCTGTTTTGGTCAAACATTCAAGGTCTGAAATTCAGCTTAATAGTATGCTCAAAAGTAAATACCATAATGTTTGTACGTACCTTGCGACAGAGACAGACCCCTATCACTGCCAGTCCTATCAGCACCGGTACAAGTAATGTCACAGTTTTCCAAGTGTTATCTGAATGTTCTATAGAAATACAAATTCCAAAATGTTAAACAGGAACTCAAAAACTTATTGAATAATAGTGAATATTAATCTGTGATATTTTATATTCAATTATTCGTTGTCATTCATTGCTATTGGATACTTACATCAAAATTATGATTTTTCTCTTACTTATAATCTCATACCTATGATTAAGGCAGAACATTTCCATTTATTGTTAATGGTACTGATACAACGGTCAATTTACATGACCCATCCTGTAAGTGAAGATTTCAAAAGGATACTTTAATGAATTAAGGGTGAATGGGTAAAAGCCAATTGCTTTACTTAACTGTGCTGATAGAAAATTGTGTTCTCAATAAATATGATTTGAGAACTTCTATACAAGTCCTGTTGATAATCAACTAAGTTCTCAGGTGGGTAAATGCTGCTTCCAGGTACAGTGCTTAATGCCATTAACGGTACTCCCGAATTGCAGAAGTGGGTGGTACCACCAGATTCCACAGGACACAAAAGCCCATCTGGCCGAGGTTGGCTCTGGTTCTAGGCAGCATTGTTTCAGCTCCTCTCATCAATATGAGAACACTCACATTTGAAGGACTCATTTGTTCATCTACAGTTCTTCTATTTCAGGTTTCCTTTCCACTGCCGCATCTTGTTCAAAAACATTTTTTGGAAATTTCTACACTCCGCCGTAAACTTAGGTTTACAGGATAAGGACAATCATGCTGGAATGTGAGCTTCAAGGAGGTATGTTTGTCTGACTCAACAGTTTTCTTTACACTAACTCCCCTCCTTCACATATATACTATGTGTATAGTCGCTGCCATCTAGAACACCCTATAGTTTCAGACAGAAACCAAGCTGTGGTGGAGAAGGAAGGGAAGACAAATATCCAGGTGTTATAACTTACTCTATTCCCATTTTTGCTATGTTGCCTCTGTGTTTCACATTCTGCAGACTGTTTCAAGTTTACTTCTTTTTTAAAACAATAATGGAGGTGCCATATATTAGTTCTCTGTCTTTGAGTTGATTGCATTTAATGGATGCCTACTTGATACTGCTTGAATGTGGTTTTGTTTTTTTTCCATTCCCTTTGAACAGAGAGTTCAAGAGGCACCACCACAAACAGCACGCTGTTTTTGAAAAACTCTGTAATTGGTTTACACTATGATTTTAAAACGCTGGAGTCAATTTTTAACCTTAAGAGTTTTCAATAGATAGAGAAGTTAATCCTAAGTCTGCTTGAAACCAGAGATAAGGAAATAACTGTAACTAAGACTTCACAGCTGGATGTTTACTACAGTTCATAAAAAGGAAGGCATACATACAAACATACATATTTCCAAGTGTAAAAAAGGCCTGCTGTGCAGAATTAAAGCTTTGAAAATAACAACTACATGCTTTTCTCAACAAGGTTTCTTCCGCAGAATAAAAATTGTACCACTTCTATGGGCATGCCTTCATCTCCCTTTGAAGAGAGTATTTGCTACCAACACAGCATTTAGGATATGAGTCCATAAGTTTCTTTGTGCTCTCAGCTGCACAGCCCTCTGTGCTTTGAAGAAAGAAAGAAGTCCTTGAATACATATGTCTTAATGTTTTTCAGTATTTCACAGATTTCTGGTTGACTCTGGCCCTGTATTCCCCTCATTTGTCCCCACCCTCTGATAGGGAAGGAGCAGCAACTTACCAACTTCCAAAGTTCTCACTGTGAGTTTTGTGTAGTGAGGTGTTGACATGTTACAGAGATATTCTCCACTGTCACTTGTGGTAAGATCACTCAATATCATTGAACAGTCCCTTTGGTTAATCTGGACTCGAGGCTGGTAAGAGTGAGAGGTACCATTGAAGATGGCCAGGACTGAGGTCTCTGAATTTCTGATTCGTTTCCAGACAACGCTGTTGCCCTCTCTGTGTAAAGTGTCACTGCTGAATTCACAAGGAAAGGCAACTCTACTTCCTTTTGCTTTTGCCAGTTGGTCTGAAACAGGCAATTACAAAACACTCTGTAACTGTTTTAGAAAATATTATCAAGGAGGATGGTAAGTTTTTTCACCAATTAGTACAACACAAACATTTCAAAACATACTCCATTGTTTTGATATCCTATTCAAACATCACAGTATTCTTCTAGAAGAATTTAAAGATTTTTAAATACAAACTGATCATATATACGTTTTAAAACAAATCTAATTAGTAACAACATATAATTGTTAATATTGAATTTGTTTTCATTTTGCTATTTCTCACCTAAACTGGGGGACTACGAGGGACTGACTAACAGAACTGGTTTGACCTGGTGATGGGCAGGTAAGTGGAACTAACACGTAATGATCCAATAAAATACTAGTATGGGACAAATTAACATCATAGCACGACTATCTATTTAACTGCAGAGATCTGCTACAAGCAAGGGAAAAAACAGGAGGCATGGTGGCTGGCAGTCTGCTAGAAAGGAAGTATAATACATTATTTTGACATAGTATAACCACACTTGGTTTCTGTGCATGGATCTAAATAAGCAGAGGTGTGGTGCTGAAAACCATTAGGAAAGAAAGAAACGGTACCCAGTGCTGCTATTATATAAGGAACAGGAAAGCAATATATTCTCAAAAATGTTTCAGCGAGACAGCAGACAGATGCAGGGCAATTTAAACAACGCTGTAATGAAATGGACCTTTTCCACTTGTGACTTGGAAAGGCAGATGAACAAAACAGACGTTTCTGGTGCACTTGTTACCTGCTCTGATACCCTAGTTGAATCCTTCCAGAGTCGGAAGGTACGTAAATTAAAAACACCACCCTTGTTCTGAAGCATATGCAGTGGGTTAGGAGCTGAGTGTGTACTGGGTACACTTTTGGGAGAAATCTGAGCAATGGAGGCAGCCGTGCATATCCAATAAGGTAACTGCTCTTGCATTCCTCTCGATCCAATTAAAAATACTTCCTAAGATACTTGAGAGGCTGAAAAGTACCAGTATCTGAATTTCCAGACAATGCTTGTGAATTGCTTGAGACAAAATGGAGAATGTAATTTTCATATCTCTGTTTTCCATTAAATAACAAGATCAGCTGCAGTTTGCCAAACATAAACAGTGCTGCGGTTCTTCACTCCCATGCACCCCACATGCTGCACCTGGGTACTTAAGACTGCACTTCAGGAGAAGTAAAAATAAAGGATTGAATGGTACTGAAAACGCTCTGGCACAAGGTGGAGAATAGACAAACATACACATCAAGAACAAAAAACATCACTCAATCTCATATAACCCTTTCCACATATTTTGTCTGAGTTCATTCTTTTTTTGACAGTGTGAATTTTGATCATATGGGTCCCTTGAAACGTGAAACATACAGAAAAAATACTGAGAGTAAAGCAAAACTTACAGAAACGTGAGCTACCCCCTCCTTTCCCTACTTCTTGGACTTGTGCTGGCTTGTAATTGTAACTGAGGAGTTTCTAAGAGGATGAGGATGCAACCTCTTGCATTATGCCATACCCATGCCGCCCCACTGCAGTGTAGTGGATTTAATTGGGCTCAGAACCCAGCCATTGCACTCCATAATGTTGCAGGAAAAGGCCTCCCTTTATTCCTACCTTTCATCCTCCATTCAGCAGTCCACTTCCCTTGAGGGAGAGGAATATGACAGGAGTAAGGATCAGATGTGGTTACAATGCTCTGGTGACTTCGAAGAGAATAGAGAATGCCATCCCTGGTTTCTTCACGATGTGTTTCTTGGATGGGTTTATTGCCTATTACCCAAGTTATATTTGGTGCTGGATACGTAAGAAAGGCAGAGCATGTCAGCATCCTTTCTGTGTCTTTCTTTCGGTACTCCAGTGCATAATAAGAGGAAACTAGATTAAAACAAACAAGAAAACACAGCAGTCCTATTATTTTCAAAATCCTTTCCAAGTTGAAGTGATTGGTCTTTTGAAATGACACTGGGGAGAATAAGCACAACAGAAAACAAAATTTAATGTGGCTTCAGGAGAAAGAATGGCATTACTTATTGTTAATGCTGTGGTCTATACTATTCTAAAAAGCCATATGATGTTTTATGACTCAGGTACGCCAACTGCCCTTTGGAAGTCACTGTGTAGTAGGTTATCAGAAGCAATGCTGCAGTGTGATTTTTTAACTTGTTACATTTCTCCAGAGACAAAGAGAACACCAACAGGCCCAAGAGGTGCTCTGTTCCCCTGGAGGATTTCAATACCATGTCAGAAATCATGTCAGACAATCTGTGGGTGTTACCCGGTTTCTACCAGCATCATCCAAGCACTTTTGTTATCTTACTGACCTTGCACATGCAGCTCAACTTCCACTTCTGTTTTAGTTTGTTGTGTCCCCACATAGCAGCGGTAAAGGCCCTTGTCAGTCAAGGTCAGGTTAATAAGTTTCAAGGAGGCATTTCCGTGAGGAATATGCTCATGAAAAACATGAGTTCTGTTTCTGTAATTTGAGTGTTGGCTTTCCAGATAATCCCTCCTGTCGTAGTATCTATGCACATCATTTTCTTCTTTCTTCCAGTAAATTACTTCATCATCACCAGGTGGAAAAGGACAAGGAAGGATGACATCCTTTGCAAACAGCCCTGTTACCGTTTCCTTTTCTGTAGAAACGTGTAAGTACAAATGAGTGGATTACATTAAATCTAGTTTATAAGCATTTTTCTGCCCCTCCTTATCCCTGACCCAAAAAACTCTTTGGCTCCAACAGGTAGAACGCTCCCACCATGTGTTTCAACAGCACGCTCTTTCAAAGATTTTCTGTAGCACAGATCTCTGGGACAGCAAGGGTGGCAGCTTTTCTCCGTTAAGTTTGATCAGTATCATAATGCAGGGCTCTGGTTAAGGAAACCAGAGTTAACCAGTTCTGCAGAACTCAGGTTAAGTGGGCAACCTGACTAACCATCTGTACATTTACATCAGCATGCCTCTGCCTTAGCCACCTGAGTTTCCTGTGCTTTTCCAAAAGCACCACCTCCGATCCCAAATCCGGGTGAGAGAGTCCCCAGCCTCAAGCTGCAGCTTGTTCCTCACTCATATGTTCATAGAGCTGGCTGGCAATGATCTGGGTGATCAGTGACCCTTACGCAGGGCCAAGCAGTTGTACAGACAAAAGCACGCAATTGTGCAACTGACAGGAAGGACAGAACTTCTCAAAATGGCTTCACCGCCGAGTTGATCCTTAACCATTAATAAATAATGTCAGAATTAATTCCCCCATCAAAAAAATAATAAGAGTTGTCACCTTTATCATTTTTTCCATAAACAACAGAATTAAAACCTACCCCAAGTTGTAGCACATATGGAGAGCAAACAGAGAAGAGATGGTATCTTCTGCCCCTTCATGTCTTCGTTGATTTATTCACCTCAAACTGACAACAAAAAAGGAGGGGAGACAACCTTTTTAAACGCAGCTAAAAGATTTGCCCTTCAATTTGGGGTCCAGAGCTCAGTCACCAAACCACATGTCTTGGATGCTTCCACATGTCAAGAGGATGCTACCTCTTGCCCTATCCCATAGCCATCCTGCCCCGCTGCAGGTGTAGTGGATTTAATTGGGCTCAGGACCCAGCTGTAGCACCCCCACAATGATGCAGGAAGAGACCAAGCTGTTGTACGGACAAAAGTACACAACTGTGTGACTGAGAGGAAGGACAGAACTTCTCAAAATGGCCTCACCACCACTCATGGCATCCGGGAATGCTGTTCCAGCCCCAGCGCAAGTCAATAATACACAAAGAATATGCAATTGCTATTGATGTTCAATTTCAGAATTTTAAGTGAATATTTTTCACAACCGATTGTATTCCCTTGGTGACGCTGCATGGACATTCTTGGTCAAGGTCACACAACCTTGTTGGGCTGGTGGCAAGTGCCTGGCTGTAGCTGTTTGCCACTGCCTTCTTGGAAAGCTCGATGCCCTCTCCAGCGCAGGGAGATCTGGCAACCCTGGCAGAGCAATCTGCGTGACTTTCCCTCAGCTATCTCAGCACAAGCCCACCCAATGTACTTCAAGCCACTTTCAGTGCTAACAACTACTGACCACTGAGTGGTATCACAACGTACTCCACCAGCCAAGCTGTGTGGCACAAAAGTGGGCAGCTGAAGCCCAGGTGCTTAACACACTCAGTGGCCATGGACATTTGTGACACAATCTTTGTCTTCTTTTGCCTTAACTGTGTTGTTATCTTTGTACAGTTTATAAGGGCCTGTATCACGCTTTTAGTTCGCAGTAAGTTGGGACCAGATTTTTGGCCCTTACTGTACATTTTATAATGGTTGGGGGCCGCTCCTTACAATGTAATTCACCTTCTCGTTTTTTCATGTGTTATTACTCATGTGTTATTACAAGGCTAGGAAAAAATAATCTTCAAAATTCATGAATAAGACACCGAGGGAAAGCGGTCAAGTGCCTTTTCCAAAAGGATGTAAAATGTCCCTTGTCAAGCCAGATTTTTTCATTTCCTAAAATAGATTCCTTGTTACTGCAACAAAGTTTTCTTATTAATGCAACATTTGCCTTTTGGAATTTGCAAATGCTGCAGGCATAAAGAGTCTTTACTTGATCAAAAGTGCATTGGCTGAACTTGGAAAAATGTGTCTAGAGACTAGGGGGTGTAGGGTAGGAACACAGAGGAGGCTCTCCCATCAGTTTTGCTGATTTGCCAGTAAATTGGCAATGTGGCAAGCTTACATACAGAGCAGCACAAGAATAATCATAACATAACTGACAGATCATATCCTTGCTCCATCCACGTGAACTACTTCTTAATACAGCACAACATGGTGATCACGACTCATGTAGTTGGAAAAGAATCTAAAAGTCTTCCTCTATTCCTTCTCTCCTGAGAGGAGAGCTATGGGTACTATTCCTGACTTAGACGGGGCACAGCCTGAGCTGGGTTTGCTAACTGGTTTATATGCTCCTACATCAGTACTTTTTCTGCAGAAGCATGCCGAGTGTTGGCTCTGGGCAGCAGCTCTGGGGTCTTACAGGCAAGAAGAATACACATGGTGATGGTTAGTCACTGCAGAGTACTGAAGAAATGCGGTTTTCTTATTGTTATGAATCTAAATGGCACAATCAAGAAATTACGTGCGAAGTGTCTGCTTTGAAAGATCAGTATGGAGTAATTTATACAGACAACGCGAAAGTAGAAACAAGATCATTGCAGTAACGTGAGTTACTCCTACCCCCGTTTTCAGGGGATGTATTTCCTACAGAAACGATAATTTCTGATAATAACATGATGTTAAGAGCAGGATAATAACAGCGCGTTTCAGGAATGCACGCATTTAGGAGAACTAGAAATGCCTGGGCGCGTCAAGTTTTACCAGCGAGCAAACAACCACATGTATATATGTATATATAGGTATATATATGTATATATATATTCTTACCTGTTTTTTTCCACGAGTCATTTCCCGGCGCGTACAGAGAGTTTAATTAGTTAGTGAATTTAAATTTTCGCGCCTTTCTCCCCGATTGGCTGCCATCCCCTCCTGCCCGCCCCGGATGGCCGACGCGGTTGCCATGGTTACCGGCGGTGGCGGCGGGGGGGGTGTGCTCCGGAATGGCGGCGGAGCGGGAGGAGGAGGTGGCGGAGCGGGGCCCGGGCGCAGCCTACCAGGCCTTCGTGCTGATGGAGGAGCTGCGGGACAAGCTGAAGCTGCTGGGCTGCGAGGAGGAGGAGGCGCTGCGGCGGCACAACATGCGCCCGATCTCCAGGTCGCGGCCCGGCCCGGCGGCGTTGGGGTGGCGGTGTCTGTGTGTAGGCAGCGGCTGGGTACGGGCAGAAGCGTAGTCCCACGGATGCCCACGTTGAAGGAGAGGCCCGAGGATGAGCTCGGTAGTTTCAAGCTGCTTTTAGCCAGCTGTCTGACCACCTGTGTATGTGCAGCAAGGAAAACAGACCTTTTATGGGCTAAATGCTTCTCAGGGCTCACTAGGTATGCCAGCAGACCACATTTCTTGTGTTCAGTTTGATCCAAAATAGATCCAGTTAGTCTGTCTCACTCCCTGAAGTGACCCAAAAGACAGTGGGTGAGAGTGCCTGGAGAAATTGCTTTGGAAGCACGCTCCTGATCCCAGCTGTCCGCCAGTCTCTAGCCTACATGCTAGCAGAGGAAGGCAGGAAGGGGAAGAGATCTGGGGAGTTAGGAAGCCAGAGGAGCTGGATGTATTCCCAGTATCAGGAAGAGATGTTAAGGAAGGCCTGGGTGGAGGGCTTACTCTGGTACAGCGTCATGGATGAGGACACGACTCAGCAGGACATCAAGCAATGTTGCTCCAGTAAAGTTGCTTTCCCATCCTCACAGAAGTGCCATTCAAGTTTTCATATGGTCAGTTGGTGAAAAACAAACAAAAAAATACTATTTTTAATGAGGCATATTAATAGGAGTACCCAGGTTTAGTTTGGTTCCCTAGAAGTCTAATATTGGTTAAGACTTGCTCAAAGCAGGAAACAGATAAGCTGCATGTGGAAGGTGTAGTCTACTGCAGTTATATGTGAAACTAGAGATCCTGAATGTAGTTCAAATAGTTTACTCTCTGAGGATGTCAGTTAAAGAACCTGTTTTCCTAGCCTGTGCTGGCCTAGAATGCTATAGTTGCTGCAGGAGTTTGCAGTCTATTTATTTACTGTTTTCCTTCCTTTTAAACAGGCACTACTTTGCCCTGCCCACTAATCCTGGTGAGCAGTTCTTTATGTTTTGCACACTTGCCGCTTGGCTGATCACTAAAGCAGGACGTCCCTTTGAGCAGCCACAAGAATACGATGACCCCAATGCAGTAATATCAAACATACTCTCAGAGCTGCGTTCGTTTGTAAGTGTTGAACATGCTGTTTTTCCAAGTGCATTTCAAGGATAGGCATCACTTTCAGAAATATCAGTAACACCACATTTCCTCCGCTGTCTGATTATGTTCCCAAGGACTGGACAGACTTTCCCTTTCTGTGTGTTTGTTCAATATTAATTAGAAGCTTATACTGTCTGTATGTGCTTGCTAATACTTTGGCACCAGGAGAAATGGCCTTACATTATTATATATGTAGTTCTAATTAGTTTTGTTCTGCAATCTGTGCAGGGGATTAAATCAGGATTATTTCTTGTTATGCCTCATATGCTGCTTGTTTATAGTAGTATATTTTACAAGATTTTATCTTGAAAACTTACACAGTGCTTATGATCCTGCTGCTGCCAAAGTCAAAGGTATAATTCATGCTAAAAGAAATGGTTTAAATTGTATTCATGTTTATTTATTTATTTATTTATTTGGTTGGAGAGTGAATGATCTCACGGAAGATTCTACTGTGGTGCAGCTGTGAATGATGTTAAGAACACCATTCTCTTAAGGAGTTAAACAGCAGTAAATAATAATAAAGTATTTTTAAATAATTCTGGAGTAAACAAGGCAGTGTTGAAAAGCCATTGGTTAAGTCTCGGTACCTGAGTTCCTCTGTACCTGTTGTTACCTTGCCAGGGTGTCACTTTTATGCTTGATTGTCTAACTCCCGTGCAGCTTCTGACTCTTCTGCTGAATTGAGGATCTTCTTACCAGGTGCTTTAAGATTTCTGCACTGCATCTGTTCCTTGAATTGCTCTGTTTTCCCTTCTGTTGCCTGACTTGGGCTCCTTGGGGAGAGGATATGAATTAACGTTGGTAAAATTCTGATCACAATGGACACTTGGTTTTAGTGTAAAAATCTAGTAACCTCTGTGGGAGGAAACTCTGCCTGTTTGGTAGCCATTAGTAAATGTCATGTTTCTTTGTTTTAGGGAAGGCCTGTGGATTTTCCGCCCTCAAAATTAAAAGCAGGTTATGGAGAGCAAGCATGTTATGTTCTTGATTGTTTAGCTGACGAAGCCTTGAAATACAGTGGCTTTAGCTGGAAAAGGTACAGTAATTTTAAGAATCCTCCCTTATGCATTATTTTTCAGGGAACGTATGTAAATAGTTGTGAAGGGTGGCACAGAAAATGTAATATTGACCAGAAATCTTCTACTTGATATTTTATGAGAAGCAGAATTCAGAAGTTGGACAAAGTAATTCCTAATGCAGTTTCATAGAATTTAGTCTCTTACCAGCAAGGGTGAGTTTGGACCATTAGTAGACTTAGCTAATTAATAAAGATTTCACTGATTTCCTCTTTTTTGTCTCTGTCCTGTGTGTAACGGCTTGTTAATCTGACAGCTGGGTTGAATAGTATCCATCTGTTTAGGTCCTATCAATCAATAGATAGATTATTGATCTCTTCAGCTGGAGCTACACACAGAATGCAGTCAGTTTACAAAGTAGACTACAGTAATTTTGAGTATTTAATCCAAAGGAAATCTTCAGAGAAATGACAAATCATTTCAAGTGTATGAAAACTTGTTTAAAAATGGTCTTGATTTCATCCCCTCTCTCTGGTGGGTTTTGAAATGGTATAGCAAAGTAATTTCTACCTCCAAAAACTTTACTGTTATTTAGTGCACAAGTTCCACTTTAAGCCAGAATTGAATTTGTGAGGACTTGCACTAGAATTTTAAGGAGTTAGACCAAAGGAGGAAATGAATGACAGCTTAATCCCCCGGATGTCTTGGCATTGTGAATATACTGTACTGCTTGGCATAACAACTAACCCTCACTGTTAAGACAGCCCAAGGTGAATTACTTTTAAGGGCGAGCATTAATTTAATTTGTTTATATGTGTGAGACAATCGCTGTCTAGTCATATTCCACGTAATCCTTACTTCTCATGATTTTTTTTGTTTCCTTGGGAGCAATTTATAGAAGTATTTCCAATTTATTGTGTTTAAAAGGTCAGCTTATTTTTTTTTGATTTTTTGAACTTATTTCAGACCAGTATATCCAACAGAAGAGCTAGAAGAAGAAGAAATAACAGAAGATGATGCAGAATTAACACTTAATAAACTGGAAGAGGATGTCGTGGTAGGTTTACCTGTCTGGTTTTCGTTATATAAGTATTGGCCAACCATGAGGAAATCTTTACTTGCTGTTCATTTTGTTTGGCCTTAAGAAGTCTTTTCTACATCACCTTTCTTTCCTGTGTCTTCTTTCCTTTGTCTTCTGCATCATCACCTTCTCTGTAGGGTTGTTTCTTTTCAGGTAAGGTGGTTTACTCTTCAGGGCAGAGCATTTGTTATTGTGTACGTTGAAATTATTATAAATTGAGGTTGAATCTAACAATCCATTGAATTACATAGATTGAGAATTGTTTGGTTTCTACTGAAACAATCTGTTGCTGATGTTAAATGAAACTTGAATCAATCCACGTCTACAGAATTGGCTAATATTTGGTTTAAACTTGCCCAGTACTTAATAAAGTACTCACAATTGTTACTCAGATTTCAGTGCAAATGGGAAACAGTATCTTTGGCACTTAGTTAATCTTAAGATTTGGGAACAAGGTAGATGGAAAAGAACTTCTGGAAACTGAGTATTTGTTTAAAAACAGTGTTGAAGACGCAGATAAAGGTTGCAGAATTGTTTCTGAAAAGAAAGGTCATGGCATCACTATATATTCCATGTATGGAATATTAATATCCCCTCATTGCTTTTGACAGCAGAATAAGCTTCTGTACCTTTTTGCAGCAAGATGGCTATGCTTGAGAATCAACGTTTTTATTTATTCCTGCTTTTTAACTATAATAATTGCAGCTATGTCATCACGTTTATGAAACAATCCACAAAATATGCCTGTAAATTCAAATATGTTTCTTGCACTTACTGCTGGATGGATGTTGAACAGAAGTTGTTTCCTGTTGATAGACTTTCTCAGAGGATTATTCTTGTGAGAGCTGGAGTCTCACTGTCTGTAAATTGGTATAATGTGATCACAAGATTTCATCGTTTTCACAGGCCTCTGTCGGTCTTCTCAAAGTGAGTCTTTTTACTGCTGACTTAAGACTTTTCAGGAGAGGGAAGTTATATAAAGATGCTCAAAGTGAAAATTACAAAAAAGGAGTTCATTTCACATCTGATTTCTCCAAAATCTGATGTTTCTGTACAAAGTTAATTTAGATCAGAACCAAAATATTGAAAGCTGTGATCCCAGAAATGCTCACTTGCTTGGTTAGTGAGTTACCTGCAGGGAAGACAATCTTATGAAGTTATAAGGTCCAGAAATACTGGATAAAAATGCCACAGCTGTCCCATTTTTGTGTCCACATTTTTTAAGTGCTTGGGAAAAACTAAAGGTCATTAAAGTTAGTGTCAGTAATGTTACCATATGGCTCTGACTGCAGTCCCAGTTTACATGCCGCAATAGACTACAAGATTGTAACAGTTGAAGAGTTTGCTTCTCTTCTCTTCTTACAATTTTCTTAAGTACTATGCTATTTTTATCATTTTTATTAGTTGAGAAAAATTCCATCCTTCTATTCTTGAATTTCATACAATATGCAAGTATTAGGGTGTGGGTATCGCTGTCTGGTTGCATTTTTGTCAGCTTTGGAGCCGACCCAAAAAAATTCTTGAATAATTCTAGGAACAATCAGAGACATTATATGTTGCATATCTGACAAGCCTTGGAAATGTCAGCTGGTGGCTAAGAGCTTTCAGTATGAAAACAGTCAGCTGCCTACTCGTTCCTGTG